ACTGCTCTTTTGACGGCTTCTACAAATCTAAGCTGAAGTCTTAAAGTGTGTTTTCGTTCACTTAACAATGATGGTGGTGCCACTGTGCGACTGAGCACGCAGACACACACTGTGGCACATTGCTTGCAAAAGGTGCGTTCACGCGTAGCAATGCATGGGCTCCCCATTTGCCCCCTAGCCCCCCAAAAAATGGGAGCCCCCTCCGTTCGTTTTTGTCATTCTCCGGACGGGAGGGACACTGAAGTCTCTACCACGGTGCGGAATTCTCCGCTCCATTCTGCGCCGTCCGCATTGCCTGGAAGTTTTTGCGGCCGAAAATGGGCAACGTTTTGGAATTTTAGTTTCACTTTGTTGGCCGCCCTCCTGTGGAAGGCCTCGTGCCCCATGCCCCATGCCACACGTCTCCGTTTTTGTGGTTGTTGGCAGGCTAAGTGTTTGTTATGATTTATATTGGTTTTATTAAATGTTTCAACAACCTTTCTGCCAAAAATTATTTACTGCAGCCCCATGGAAACTCCTAACGCACATACGCATCCAAATTTTGGGTTGGGGGCAGAAATGACCAGACACACAGACACCGAGTCTCCTGGCTGAAGTGGCATTAAAGTCGTGGGCAGTCGGGGCAGCAACAATGTGACAAATTTTGCGCAGCTAATGAGCTTTAAAGGTGCATTTTTATGGCGGCAAGCAAGGAGGAGCAGCTGTCCCGGAACGGTTACTAATGGAAAAAAGGAGGAACTTAAGTTTTAACATCAAGTTGATGTAAAATGACAGGGTGCTTAACACAGAAGGGGGTGGGTAAAAGTTATATAACATAATGCTATCATGAGTCTTTTATGCCCTACCCACATTGCAAGTACTTAAAGTTACCACACTTGTTAACAACGTAGAGCGCAGTAGTTAAAGAATTTACTAATTTCTGGCCAACCGAAATTCCAAGGCATTATGTTTCACTATGGTTGATTTGGCGATAATTCACATGCCGCACGCTTGAGCAAATCGGTTTAGAGTGCCTCGGATTGTCGTCGATTTCGTGTGCCACTTGAAGCAACTTGTCATTGCAGTTTAGATGACAATGTTGATTGCAGAACGCAAGGAGCAGGTGGACCCAAGGAGCCAAGAAGCCAAGGAGCCACCAAGTCGAAAGAAGATCCGAGGAGCAAAAAGTGTCCTTGCAGACGATGCACGTTTTTGACGGCTTTATTGTTTAGCCTGAGCTCCACGTCGCCAACCAAAAGTCCACGACATTTCCGTGGGGGGAAAATGGGCAGAAAGTGCTCGAAAGTCGCCAAGTCGTTGATTCGTCTGGGGAAAATGGGTAGCGGGCATGAACTTGAATGACTTTTCATAACTTTATAAAACTTTACACAACGACAATGAAGAAGAAGCCGCCTGACAATGGCCAAATGAGTGGCTGCGGATGGAGCATTTTGGGGGTGGTGGAGCACCACCAGGTTTGGGTTCACCTTTTCCTGCTTTAGCACGTTTCCGCTTCCGTTTAGTCTGCGTCGCTTACACTCGAGCATAATGAATATTTTCCCAAATTGAAATGTTGTTTGTCCTTGCCGGAGGGCGGTGGCTCCAACTCCAGCTCCACCTCCACCTCCATCTCCACCTCCAATTCCACTGACCCCACTGTACTCATGTACCATACCCACAGCACCCACCCTTGGAGTCACTTTCACTTTACGACTGCCCCGGCAAAGCTGCATAAATATGAAAAATGTAAAATTTAATATGCAATTTACGTCACTCGAAAGTTGTTTCCCTCATGGTCTTGAATGCCTTTTCTTTTTCTTCTTCTTCGTTTGTAGGTCCTTTCAATTTGCATATTTCCCACACTCCTCCATTTCTTTGTTGTTCTTCTTAATGTTTTACACTTTGTTTAGTGGACTCTGTTCTTTCTTTTTGTTTTTTATGTCTTTGGTCATTGTATTGTCTGGGGAAATTTACCGAGAGAGTCTGTGGCAAATGTGCGATAAATATGTGTGCTGAATACTTGGCGTTTAGGACTCGGAGTCATGAAATTTCATAATTGCGAAATCACAGATTTCAATTGACGTCCATCTAGATGGCATTGTAGTGCGAACCTCGAAATCGAAATCCATGGCTCAACCAGTCACTCAATTTCTGTTTTCATTCGGTCAGTGATGGACAGACAGTTGTATGCTAAATATGATTGATATCCACACAAAGAGAGATCTCTCGAGAGCAGGTCATGATTTCTATGCCCAGAGATCATCAAAAAATGCTTATGGCTTTATTCGCAAAAAAAAAAAAATGATCGATCATTCCTATCCCACCATATCCATTCGTTTGGTCGACTTTCAAGATGACAAAACAAGCATTGATGAGGGCGCATTCATGGTCTAGATACTATCCACGAGATACTTTTCTCCACGGTATCTACGGTGCCTTTGGGTTTAACTAATTTCCACAGCTTAATAAAGTTAATTGGATCTCTTTGACAAAAACCTAAATTAGTTTGGTCAATTGCGGTGGCAAAAATTAATACCTTCAAATGGAAACCCCAACTACCCTAATATCAAATACTAGATTAAGACAAAAATAAAAAAATAAAATATATATATTCTATTTATTCACCGCTTACAGTAAAAAAATAACAAAATAAGATAGTACATGATAAGTAAAATGTTGCCAATGTTCCAGAATGCTGCTAGACCCCGTGGAAAGGGTATAAAATGTTGCGGATTAGGCAATGACAGCCTTGAGCAAGATGCAAATAAATTAATTATGTTAATCTGTTTACATGTCAGCCGCATTAGAGCCTTTTCCCAACGACGCTTTTTCGGGGATGCGACAGACATTTTGGAGGAGTACGAGTATCCGAGTTGTTTTTAGTTAATAAAGCAAACACCTGTCGCATTTGAAGCCGTTCTGTCTACTGCGACACGCATACGCACCGTTGACAGCGACAAACTTAAAACGCTCAAATTGCACAAACTTTTGACAATCATCAAGCCCATCATGATGATGATGCTGATGCTGATGGTGATGGCAATGATGGCCATGGTGGAGGGCAAGACATATAAGAGAATATATAGACGGTCCTAGACATCATCAATTCTCGGTGCCAAAATGCTGGGGTCGGGCATAAAGACCACCAAACACTTGGGGAGCTCAACAGAAAGTTTCTGCGGTTCAGCGCGGTACAGTGGGACAAATAGTCCAAAAGCCCCAATTAGCAAACTTCATTGTAAATGGTATTCTTTGATTTTAAATTCTCAAAGTATTTTCCAACATTATCGGTATCGATCTTCTAATGTTGCACTGTGTACATATATTTTTAATTGCACTACACAACACTACAAATTAGTGCCACAGTCCATTGAAACTGAGTTGATGGGGCATCGTGCACTTTAAGCAAATTAGTTACGCAGCTCATGTTCGTGCGGGTCCTTATGGGCTCACCCTTGGATAAAAGCACCCACACCACCAGTTGTGTGTTGGCAAACAAATTTAATAAATAGCTAAACACACAAAAGTCACAACCCTTTGTAACCAGCAGGCTGAGGGGGAGTGAAATGATTCTTCCGCCTGTCAACAAGCAACAGAGCCATGGAAAGTGGCATTGGCTCGCAACCCTCTCCTACCAAAAAATAAAAGTCCTTTTGCCCACCCACCAACCAACCAACCAACCAACCATCCAACCAACCAACCACCGAGTTAGACATATTCATATTTACTCAAGTTTATGGAGCCTTGTATTTGTCTTTGGTTCTTTGTCATCGCCGACATTGCGGATTGCCACATAAAATGTAACACTTCATTTACAGGCCCTCGTTTTGTCGTTTGCCCACTGTTTTTCTTTTTCTCAAGCGAAATTTCTTCAACTACTGCCAACCTACCACATGGAAGGTCGACAGAAAGGGGCACTTTTTGGTTGGACGGGCCTCATAATTTATATGCTAAGCATATTGCGCTTACGAGGATTACCAAAAATATCGATATACATGTTACACATTATAGTTGTGTATAGCTTTTTGTGCCCCTTACAACCGCAAGTGTCAGCAGCAGCAGTAGTCGTCTAATCTTTGGGCTGGAGGAGTGGCTAATGGAAAGGTTAAGGCTGAGGTTTTCATGGCTTACAATGTGGCTGGTGTCGAGCGGAGTGGTGACCCCGATCTGCACCCTCGTCATGCTGTCACCAAGCACTGAGAAGCGAAAAATCTGAGGCACTATCCTTAATTCACTTGCGATTAAGCAGCAGATATGCTTGCAACTTGATCGGGTGGCATTTGTAGTCATTAAATCATAAAGCCATTAAAAATAATATTTGAATTAACTTAGTTGGAAGTCATTCGTAGCTTGTACTTGGACTATTTGAATGGTAGAACAATATTATTTAGCCACATGCACCATCACGATTTTTAAATGCAACCCCTTTGAAGCAGACTTTCTTGACAACAAACTACATCCGGCGGTGACCTCGAAGTGATCCTAACTTGGCCCAGCCCGCGTTCAACTGGTGACCGTGACGTTGATGATTCAGCCGTCACACCCACCCGACGGTTAAACTGACCTGACTTAACCCATTACGGAGCTCTTTTCGATGCCACCGAAGCATGCCACCGATTCCCATGAAGCGCTCAGCGGAGCATAAACCTTTCACAGCCCATTGCCAACATGGCTAACCCTTCCAGGGGCCCAAGGCCTCCGACTGCGTCTTCATCTTCAACTTCAACTTCCTCTGGTCAGTTGGCTTCATTCTGCGAAAACAGAATTCCCTTTATTATGGCCAAGAACAACAGCGAACGACGGCCACGGTTGCAACTTGAATTATTGTTTTGACCAACCACTTTCGCTTAAATGGGGCAGCAGTTCCCTTAGATTTCCCCAACTCCAGTGCTATTTTTAGCAGCGAGTGTGGTAAAAGCACTTCATCGACGAAATTCCTGCACATGCAGCAGCGTAATTCTTAATACTATTGATATACCCAGAGATCGAACCATAGAAGCGGATTTTTTAGGGAGACTTACCCAAGATGAAGTCGCTGGTGATGAAATCGCTGGCTTGGAATTCGCTGCTGATGACTTTGGATGGGCAAACGGCGTTGCACAGAGGCGCTGCTCGGGTGGCAGTGGGTGGCTGTACTTCCGTTTCCGTTTCGCGCATTCCACAGTGGCAGCCGCTGGACTTTCTTCACTTCCGGCGAGAGGCCGTTGATGCGCGTGGCCGCTGCACTGGCGCTCAGCGGTGACGTCATATTGGCCAGGTCACTGGCATCCGTGTCCCCATCCTCTTCGGTCGGCCCCACCTCCTTTTGCCCCGCTGGGCGGCTGCGTCGCGGTGGGCGTGGCAGCGGCTTGGGTGCCACACGGCGACGTTGTTGCTGCTGCTGCTGCTGCAGCTGATTGGCGGTTGTTGCATTGGTTATTGTCGTTGCTGCCGATCGGCTTGACTTCAGTTTAATATCGATCAGGCAGGGTGGGTGTGCCAAATGATTATTATTATTATTATTCTTGTTAATGTTATTATTATTATTGTTATTATAATTGCTGTTATTGTTATTGATGTTGTTGCTAATGCTGTTATTCTTATTGTTGTTAATGCTCTGCCAATGATGTGCCTGCAATTGCCTTGATTGCATGTGCTGAAGATTATGGTGATTATGATGTTGCTGCTGCTGCTGCTGGTTCGCCGTTGTTGTTGCCGTTGCAGTTGCAACTGTTGCCGTTGTTGTTGCTGTTGCTGTTGCAGCATGACTCGGCGCCGATCGAAGATCATTTAGCATTATGTCCAAATCGCTGGCCAGCGAGCTGAGCAGCTGCAATGATATGGCAAACATTTTCGGTTTAACGCAAAGTTCGACAAGCCTCGAAAATTCAAAAATGACTTTATGGTATCCCCAATAACACAATCACTGACGTTGACCAACAGCTTAAGATCATTATGAAGCCCATTCATTGGAAATCATCGTGGAAGCACTTGAAAAACTCTAAAATCTTCAAAACATGGTTAACATGTTTATAGCAAGAATTTGCAGTGAAATTTTAAACTTAAGTTTTTGGATTGTCCAGAAAACGCCTACTTATTTTCTTTTCCGCCCAGTACAGACTGCTTTTGGCAAAATGTATTTTTTAAAAGCACTTCCTCTTTAGTATTTCATGCACAATCAATCGATCATAATTGTAATGCAATTGAAGTGCACAAAAAACCACCAACCAGTTATTACTGCCTGTTTAATTAATTTACCAAGCAAATATGACAATTTTCCATTCGTTACCGTATCTTGAGCTATAAAAATGAATGGCAAATTAGGCAATTCAATTAGGCTGCTATAACTTATCGTAATTTTGATTTCCAGAGCTTGTACAATATTTCTTTGAGTGCAAGAATCGGTGGCACTTGGACTTAGCCTTCGCAACTGGGTTCGTGAGGAATTTTCATAGCACAAACAGTGGGTTGGGCTGGGCTTGGGAACTGGAGTTGGACTCGGAGTTGGAGTTGGAGTTGGAGGCTTCTGGCGGATTGGAGGCGAAGTTGGGTGCCCCTTGGAGTTGGAGTACCTGTCCGACTGGTCCTAACTTCCGGCGGTCTGCGGCGAGGCCGCACTTCTGTGTTCGATCTCCAATAATTACGCGCCACTGTCTCGGCTAATGCAATCAAAACGGGTTTTTCGCCGGTCCACCCAAGAAAAAGCAGCCCCCCCCCCAACCCCCTGAGACCTGCCACCCATGTCTGCGGTGCCCCATGTGCAACATCATGGTTAACGTTAACCATGTCCCGAGTGCCAAAAAAGCAGCAAGGCAACGTCAACCAAAAAGCAAACCGGCTCCCACGCTCTGTGCTAATTTGATCTCCACTTCTGTTGCTTTTTGTCTTTTTATTTATTTATTTTTTTTAATTTTTTCCTCTGCTCGGTATTTATAAATATTTCTATGGTTTTTCTGAATTTTTCTTTTTTTTTTTTGTTATTTTTCTGAGGCTTTTTGTTATGGCCTGAAAGGCAGCAGAAGTTGTATGCAAATGCTGGGCAAAGAGTGAAATGGAAAAAATCGAGAAATGAATTGTTGATGTGAAGCAAGCGAAGATCGCTGCAAAATAATTGCAAACCTGGGTGTCTGTGAGGTACTGCCATATAAGGTAATAACAATATTTTGTAATTATTTATGTATGATCAGAATTTACAAATCTACGTTGGCTTAAATGGCTTATCTACCCATCAAGGCATCAAAGATGTGGTTAAATGAAAATATTTGAATTCTAAAAATGGATTTTATAGTTAAAGAGCTGCTTGTGCCGATCTGTAAGTGCTGATAGATTTAACACACATTTCTGCCATCCAAGGACTTGTTTTCCTTGTTATTGCGTATACGCCCCGTTACACTCCTCATTTTGCAGGCAGCAAAAGAGCGAAACGCGAAATCAACTTAAACATATGGATTAGCATGTAATATGCCACATTCGCACACAAGCACACTCCCACACACACATAGAAACACACACACACAGACGCACACAGGGATTGAGACAAAGACATAGACAAGCCAGCCAATTGAGCAATTGCCACAGCCAACAAATTCAAATTGAAAATGTGGGCAAAGCAGCAAAAAAATCAAAAAATACAAATCCAGAAAAAAGGAAATAAAACGAAACTCAACCGCAGAGTGTCTTGTTTGAAGTACAAACAAAACTTCAATTGGCTGGCGGGGATTGGAAAGGGGAATTGAATGGGGGGCTCCATTCAGTCAGTCGGCAATTTCAATTTAGGCATCATAAAAACGAAACGAGAATCGCAAATTATTCAGTATAATATTGCAAATTAAATTAAGCAAGCTCCCAGTGATCAATCTGTATTTAAAGCCCCTTTCACTTCACTTACCGCAATGGCATCCATCACCGCATTAACCATTTTTCCTTGATGTTATATGTGTATGTATCTTTTGGTTCTGAGATTTGTTTCTCTTTTATATCCAGATGTCTCCTCCGCAAAATTGTATTGTTTCTTGTTTCTTATGATTTATCTGACAGACGGGCAAACATTTTGCACAATTTCGTTGGCTTGCTCGTTTGGTCCCAGTTCCGACTCCAATTCATTTGGCTCCTCGGACTCGTCTGAATCTTCCTTCTCCCCGCCTTTCAAATCTGTTGACATTTAATTAACGACAGGTGATGGTCACCGATCCGCGGGGAAGTTGGATTCCTGGGTTTGTACGTGCTCCTTTGCCTGTGGGCAGAAAATATGTAGAAAAAGAGTTATGGATTTTAGTGGGTACTTTTGTAAGTGGGCGACCTGGAGGTTGGATGGATTGCATAGATTTCGCATTTAATCAAATTGCAAGTAATGAGGTCGAAATGAAATACGAATGGATGGGTGGGAGTGTACTCCCAATCGTAATTGATAGTAAGTAGGGGATTGGCAAGACGGTTTGTGATCTTAGCCCTATTCCTGCAAAGGAGGATACATACGTATATTTGTAGATACTTTTAAGGAACATCCTTTTATGTGCATATACTATGACTCAGAAAGCTGCCAACTTTTGCGACCCTCAGACTGAATAATGGAGTATTATTTACTATACAAAAGCGAAAAGAAAAAAAACCTTTACTACGCGACTGTCTGAAAGTGAATGTACATATCTGCAAGATACATTCATACGTTTTTTAATTAAAACCCGTGGACGACGACTGGCTGTCCAAACATTGGCTCCAAGTTTGTTTGACAATGTCCGTGCCCCAAAACCCCAATGCCCTAACCCCGCTACGCATTTCATGGCGATAATTCCGATGTAGATGTGGAAAAAAAGAAACAGAAACTCAAGCTGAAGCTGAAGCCGAAGCCGAAATGAAACTGAAAACCGAAATAAAATGAAAAACCCGTTTCACGTATTTTTCCACAATTTTCCGCATTTTATGCTCATTAATTACATTTTCATTTCAATTTCTGCATTTACATAACCATTTCATTTCAGTTCATTCCATCTGTCCGCTTAACTTGTCCCTCGTGTTTATTTTTTTATTTTTCCACATTTTATGGCTTAAATGCTGAACTGGCTCAAAAAGCCACGAAATTCCTCGGCCAGTTGACGGAAGTTGAATTGCAAATGAAATTTCAGATACAAGATACGCGTGCATATACGAGTACATAAGAGCATATCTGACGAATAGCAACCAGAAGTCAGTTGACTCCATCCGAAATGCATTCGAACTCAAACTCAAAATCGCTGGCAATCAAACGAGAAGCGTGAAAAAAATACAAGTCAACGATCCAGTCCACCTGCCCAACCCCCCCACATTTTCACCGCTTTTTATGGGGTATACCCCAACTCCAAATCACAATGGCTTTAAGTGCATACAAAATGAGCGTATCGTCTTCAAGCTGTTTATTTGGATTTATTTGCCACATAAATTGCCGATCAGATATATAGCGATGGAGGAGGATAATGCCGTACTCAAAATGGAATGGTACACAAAATTAGCAGAGTTTCAAGGTGGCATATAGAATTTCTTGGCGAAAAATGATATATAATTCCGAGTATGTGATACATTGTTCTCTAAGTATATGCGCCTTAATTTAAACAAATAACTTTTTGCACCTGGCCAACAAGGAATTGGGTAATTAATTCTACTTCAAAGGTGGTAAATTCAATTTTTTGTAGCGTCTTGTTGCTTCTTAAATATTTTACCAACTTTGTAATGAATAAACTGCCTTTGAGATAACACGCTACCATCTTTTATTAATGCCTGGCTAAACTGGTCTTTGGTTTGTTTTCGGCCGTTTTGTTGACCACTTCGCTTTGGGAGCTCATTAGCCAAATGTGATAGAAGAGTCGACAGAAATATTTGAAGCATGAAATATCAATAACGAAATCAATATGAGAGCTAACGAGTCTGTCGATCGGATCGATCTCATGGGTTAACTTGATGTCGATCCGCTGTTATGAATATTTCGGTTTCGCCTCGGTTATTTATTGAATTTGTGTTAAGGTTAAATATCAGCGTGAAATTGAAATGAATTGTGTTGTGTTGTGTGATATTAAAGCGTTGGGCTCATTCTGAGATACGATTAAGCGAGAATCATGCAACGCTCGAAGATTTCGGCGGGTATACACGTCTAATCTTCTCGGAAGAGTAGAATCTTTATCGCTTGCTTCTTTTGGCCTTTGTGCCCGTTTCTCCGATAAACCAGCGTTCAAGTGTAAATTGAATGATAAGCCCGTTTACTGGGCTTCCAGACACAAAACGAGAGCCACACACTTTGCTCCATCTTCTTCTATGATGATGATTGTCTTAATGATGTTGACGATGGGCTGGATGGTATGGTTGGATGGGGATTGATGGGGATGGCCTTTCAATCTCAATTGGGCCGAAGGTGATCTTGTCGCCAAGGCGAAATCGATCGTGTTTGTTGCCTCTCAATTGATTTCTGAACTATATATGCTTGCACTGGGAAAACGAAGTCCGTAGTTTGCATTTCCCTGCCTATCAATTTAGAAAGAACATCATGCTGCTGTTCAATTAACAAGACTTTTTGCTTTTGGCGATGCTCCCCCACTTTCTGGCAGTGTATTTTTCAGAGTGCCACTTGCCAATTGAAATGCATGTGGGTCAGCCCAACGGTTCCAATCAGCGAACAACAAGTGTCCCTTTAATTAATCTGCACAATTGCATTGGCGTCACTGCAATCGACATGCGATATGCAGTAAAGTATCTTTTATCTGCCGTAAAATATACACACACACATATATATGTATGTATACATTGCGGCGTATCTATATCTGTGAATACGGGCAATGCAGATCGCTGTGACCAAGGTCAGTTATCGAGCAAACGCATAAGTTTGCTTTTAGTACCTAACAGATAGGTTCCACCGCCTGTCGATAGCTTTCCGGTCGGACAAAGATGCAGCTTTTACTTTCCTCGAGACACACTAGAAACTACGGCCAGTGAAAACCCAGCGAACAGTCAAGAAACCAGCAAACCAACAAACCAAACTGACGGAGATACAATGCAATGACGACAGTTTGCACGGACAACAGACGCAACCAGGACAGCCAACCCAACCATACATATCATATCATATCAGCAGCCGTGGGCAAACAGAACGCACCAAAAAAAACAACAAGTCAGAATGGTTGGCTAGAGGGCACCGACTAATTGATACCCATTAGTTACTACGTGTCCACAGACTATGGGTGAGCAACGAAATGCAGGAAGACACTTTGAATACAAATGAATTTATAGTTTCAGAAATATTTGTGCGCAAGTACGAAAACGTTTGGAAACTGGGTTCCTAAAACTGTTACTGGGTTGGAAAATACAAATTTATGTTTCTTGGATTGGGAATGGGAATCACCAAGATCTTTTACTGCATGTTGGGCCCAGGAGCCGCATACCACATTTACGCATGGATCACTGGGTATGATGGAAACATTTTGTTTGCAGCGCATGGCAACCGAGAAGTGGCACCAACTTGCTGAAATCTTGAGGCGTCCAACGAAGAAGGAGGCGAACTAGATGAGGGACAGTAGGCGGGCGAATTCGAATTCGACCACGAATGCGACTACGAATACGAATACGAATGCGACTACGAATGCGAAGGCCTTGTTTATGAATACGCGGGCATTGTCTGAATGCGAGATGTGAGGCATGGCACAACCAGGAAGAGGTGGATATGGATATGGATGTGGATGTGGATGCGAAGGAGAATTGGCTGGCCCAGAAGATACACAGCAAATATAGATACTTCTGCGCTCACAAGCACAGATACAGATGCAGATACATTTACAGAAACAGAAACAGAAACCGATGCAGATACGGATCCAACACGGCCGTGTGTATCTGTGTTTGGAAACTAAACAAGAAAATATTGACATATAGATTAAGACTTATTAAGGGAGCTCGAGCTTGGTAGTCCACATCAGATCGCTGGGAATGCTGACGCGAAAAATGAAAAGAAACGAAAACGCTGATGGAGAAATGTGGCATGTTGCATGTAGCATGTGTAGTATGCAGTATGTAGTATGTGGCATGTCGCGTGGGGTGACATGTTGCCCGATCTGCCGTCTGCCACAAAAACACGTGCACTCACTCGCAAATACTCATATGTATATGTATATAAAGATATGGGGGCCCAGATACAGATGCCGTGCCACTTGAATTGAGGCAGGTTCAGTTCGCCGCACACTCATGGCCAATATTTGCCAGCAAATATGGTCGAAATCTATATTTAGCCGCTTACGATTCGCCCATCAACTGATCGATTCCCATCCTCGATCGTCGTTCGGTGGCTCCCTTCCCAAAAAAAAAAAAATAACAATAAAAATAAAAATAAAAACAGTGAGCAGAAAACCGGAGCGGATCGCTGTTAACTGGCTTTCTATTGGAACAGTTGGGCGCAGCGGTTAGCGTTGATAGCCGAAAGCAAAACAAAGCCGAAACAAAAACAAGAGTGCGACTTTCAGACTTTGCGACTTGGCCAACTATTTTGGCTGCTGCTGCGCCCACATGGAAACTCAACTGGTGCTAAAAACTGATCGCCAAAAACTGATCGCACCGCCAATGCAGCGCATTAGTCAAAGCTGACTTTTTTGGCCATTTTTATTTTTATTTTATTTCGTTATTTAATCTCTGTTTTTTTTTTCTTTTTTTGCCATCGAATAATTTTGACTCGACATTGCGGCATTTCGTGTGTGGGTGAGAAAAGTTCGTTGGCGAATTTAGCTGAGATCATTCAGTAGGGCTAAGGACTTATAAGCATAGTCAATAAACATCGGCAGCAATAGCGATTTTATTAGAGTGTGATCATCTAGCAGTCAATAAATTGATATCCACAGAGGTCACTTTGGCATCATCAGTATTATTCTTTAAGATGACAAATTGCCTTGAGCCACATCCTTAGCTTGGTGATTGATATGATCTATAAATTGATTCTTAGAGCTGGTACAAAAATATCAAGTGGAAAGAGCTCGAAGGAAGGGAATGGTGAGATTACCCCAAGAATATCTGGGCACATACGTATGTATATGGTGGGTTCGCAACGATACATACAAACGTGTATTTAAATGACCATCGCGATAAGCCAAAAGGCCAAAAAAAAATATATATGACTGGATTTAATGCGATGTTCCCATGCTGAGCGAAGAGGATCATTAGCGAGGTAAGCCACTGACGATCGCTATCGTAATGCTGGCATGGCAAACACAGATACCTGGCCAGCCGAACTAGTTGGTCAGCGAAAGTAACCCATTGATAAGACCGGCACAGTGGACTATCTAAAGCTAATAGCTGTGACAACCGCAAATTGCACGAGGAGGGGTGGTAGCGCAGAGGAGGGGGTGACACAGGTAATGACAGAAAACATTCTCCAGCTATCAGCAATCCGGTGATGCACGCACACAGAGCGAAAATTGGGGCACGTTATAGTTCTAGATATTACATTAGATTATATAGATTATAATTGTCCATGCTTGCAGTATCTGTAAGTAAATATCTATTGCATATCTTAAGAATACCTAAGAGCACAGCACAAAACGGTTTATTCAATCAAATGTACTAGTAGAAATGTTAGTACTCCTTCAAAATGTTCTCTCTGTGCACTTGTGGTTGAGCTAATATTGAGCTGATGTTGCGGTTGTGGTTTTAGACTTAAGTTTTTTGGTGTTTTTGCCTTTCGGTTTTTGGCATGCGATACAGCTCGAGACAAAGCCAATTTCTACCGCCGATTTCCTTGCGAAGATAGCGCATATGAGGGGGTATATGTGCTAACAAGCAGCTGATTAGCCATTTGAGCAATTCGCCCAGCACAATTCCCACAAATTATCAAAATTCGAGCTGTTTATCATCAGGTGCGTGATAGCAAGAGGGCGGAGCCCGGTGCGGCGAGGAAGTGACAACGGCGACAGGAATGCGCATGTGAATGCGAATATAAATGCGAATGTGAATACACGAATGCGACTGCGTATGGTATATGCATGTAGATGTGCGATGGTGTATATGGTAGGTGCTATAAGGTGGACTGCGAATACCTGGCCGATTAGCAATCCACTGTCAAAATGCATTAAAAGCGAAAGACGACACTAAAGGAAACCACAGGGACCAAAGGTGCAATGTACCGAGTGGGCAAACTGAAGAGAACCAGCCAACAAAATGTAAAGGAATCCAACGCACTTTTGGCGAGCAAGAGAAAAGACTTTTCACTCAAAGAAATAGCTATACAGTAGTTATTACTATTTCATTGAAGTTTCAATCCAAAGTAACTTCTTTTTCCCACAAAAAACAATGTTTTTTTTTAATATTGAGCATGATGATTCGAATAATTGCACTGTGTGTAATCTGAATTGTGTTTGTCGAATGACAACAACTGCGTGTAATGATTGTTAGTCATGCCTAAACCAAATCCACTAACGCGAGTGTGCACTGTAATTTCTTTGAGTGAAAGAGGAGGGCAAGCGATGAAGAGTGAGTGAGCGAGAGCGAAAAGGAGTCCGCGTGGTCGGTGAACTTGAACTTGCCCAAGGATGGGAATGGGAACTATGGGTAAGCACTTTATGGATGGGCTACGATCATCACTTTCAATTAAATTACCAGGGGAAACGCCAACGCCACCAAAGTCGCAGCTCGGGAGCCTAGGAACTCGGAACCGCCAGATCTCAAGATCTCTGGAACCTGCTCCAATTTTTGTGCGCACTGGCACTCACTCGCCGACAAACTCCACTTCACTTTTCGCACTTAACGCGGCTGCTGTTGTTGTTACAGAACAATTAAATATAAATAACAACGTTGTGGCGCAAAATGAAAAAAAAAAAAAAACAAACATGTAAAAAATAAATAAAGACCGGGGAAAAATAAAAGAGATGTGTATTTAATTAAGCGCGACACGCAGTGATCTTGTGTGCGACACAATATTCTTTACTTCAGCTGCAGCACAATTCTCGCGATCGTCTTACGACTTCGGGACTACGGGACTGCGGCTTTACGGATTCCGACTGTCCGTTTACGGTACTTCGATTACGGCTTTAATTCCTTCTCTACAATTCTCCCTCACCGGACGAACCCAAGCGACCGACCGACCGTTTGTGGCCGAGTGCGAACTCGAACTGAACCGAACTGAACTGAAGCCGCCGACAAAACGAAGATCGCCGCCAAACGGCGACGCCGGCAGCAACAACTCTCTGCGATAATAGCAGCAGCAACAACAGCAGCAACAACAGCAGCAACAACAGCAGCAACAACATAACGAGATGCGAAACGATGGCACAGTGGTCGCAGGGCTGTGGAAAACTGTGCCTAGAGTTCATACAAAATGTTAACGATGCTTTACCACACAAGATATGTGGATATAAACCAAAAAATAAAACTATACTAAGAGGTAACTTTAAGTTAACTGGAATGTGCCTTGCGCCACAAACACATCAATATATAAATTTTAATTTTTCTGATGTGAAGTTCTAAAGTCCTTAACTCAACCTATCTTAATCGGATTTTGAAGTGGCATACCTCTTAATGTTTCTAGCGCAATTCTCTAAAAATCTGCATTCAAATTTAAAAATTTATTTTTTTGTCATTTTTCTAATGTTATGATGTTGTGAAATTCAAAAAATTAAAAAATGTCCCAAGGCTGTTGTACTCATCAATAATACAACTATGTTAAGAGGTAACTTTAACTGCACACTGGTCCCTGGTCTATGGAAGCTCTCCCACAAGATCCAACATTTTACAACATATAATATTAATAACACACGGGGATATAAAGCACTCAACTTTAACATAACAATTAAAGAAATATAGGTAAGAAAAACTATCACCAAAACTATAAATATTTTGGGATATGGTGAGAGCTTAAAAATAACGTTTACATTTTGTAACCAGAAATCCAAGTGTCGAAATTGTATAAAACAATCTTTATACTTACTTGTAAGATCACTGTGGTTACAGAAATGCCAAAATTGCACCAAAGGTTTGTATTTTAAAAGACATAAAATACCGGTGATAAATATATTTTAGCTTTATTAAAGAAATATTTGGTATTAAAAGAACAAAATGTTGTTACCAAGACAATAATGTATAGTATTAAAACTGCTATGCAATGTCCTTTCTATAATTAACAATGTTCAATAATGTAAAGTACTATGTTGCAATGGATCGTTAAGTTGGTGTTTCAAGATTGCGAAATTATCTTTAGAGAAGCGCGGACTTGGCAAAAAAAATGGATAGTGCTCACCAAAGAGAATTATTTAGGGAAATTTTTATTACTATCAGGAATTTATTATGCCCTAAATTAATTAAACGTGTAGAGCAAAAAACAAAAACAACGAATATTATTTTATGAGGTATAGCTGGAAAGCCAAGCTAAGGCATATGGAAATCCAGAATGATTATTTTGTAATATCAGTAATATTTTTTCACATGGTTTCACTGCTGACCAAATCAATATTTCTCGCTGTAAAATGAGACTTTTAATTGTCGGAAAATTATGACACCCATAAATTTTAATTATCAATCTGTTCTTTTTGCCTTTCGTTGTTCGGTTTTAGCTGGAAATCAAATGTACAGCCTTTGTTTCTTAATCTAAGAAATCTACATAGATTCACTTGAAAACTATGTGTTATCAATTTCATTTTAGCAAATGAATAAATATTTGTACCAGAATATATATCATTGTGCTCAAAAAAACCCATTATAAGAGTATCTTGTTAAGAGTGCGACGTGTTTGCTTCCCTTGACTTGCGACTCTGTTTGCTATGTCATCGTATTTTCTGCACGCACTTAAAAATATTTGTTGTACATTTATCATTCATCACCAATCACACACACTTTTAAACGCGAAAATGCGAAAACCGTCGATGACCGATAAAGAATTGTCGATTACCGATTGGCTGCATTTTGACTTCTTGCATTGGAAAGAAGCTTCTGATTTTGCATCTTCTTTTAGCCTTTCCATTTCGAAATTCAGGTTTTTTGCCAACACCCCCTTCCCACCCCATTTGTTGTAAAGTGCCATTGTGTCGTGTCGTCGATCTCATTCGCAAATTATCTTTGTTTGCGAAATTGTAATTGTTTTTGCCGTGCACAATTCAGCAAGAAACCGAAGAACAGGGCTGGTCTCGAAGCCGCATTACCCTCTGATAATTATTATTTATTCAGCTGCGATCTTGCTCTAAACTGAAATACCCTCCCAAAAATATAAAATAAACAAAATCACGCGAAAAAAACAGCAAATAAATATATGGAATTACAGAAATAACAGAAATGGTAGCAGAACGCCGATTCGATTATCATTAGTGTTCCCAAAAGATCGATGACATTTTTTCTCAGTGCAACTGGAGTGCTCAACAGCAGCAGCTTCACTATTGTTGTACTCGATAATGGCTTTTCTGTTCACTTTTTTACTCGTCCCCAAAAGCGGGCGTGTTCGTTGCTTTGTGCTTTTGTTTTGTTGGCGCTTTTCGGTGGAGCTGCTTGGCTATTTTTCTGTGTTATTATTTTGTAATACCTTCACATAGGGTGTATAAATATTAGGCAGAATTTCAGATGGCCTGTCGAAAATCAAGCTGCATACACTTCATCTCTTTTTGATAACTTTTCGACACCTTTCTGACGATCACATTTGTGTTAACATTTGTACGTTAAGCTTGTAAAATTACTAAAAAATATATATTTTTATGGGGGAAAAGAACTGATAGATCTTGGCAACCTATGGACCTGCAACTACCCTACCTGTAAACCTATTTCTGGACCGTGTCCCAGTAGCAACACATTGAACTATGCTGAGTCTGAGAGTCAGATTGCGATTCCGATTCTGGGTTTTGTGTGGGTTGCGGACTGCCGCCGCTGCGACTGTCATTAAATAGTTCGCTTTTCGCTTCTTACTATTACTACCTCTCTGCTCTATTGTTTTTATGTTTTCTTTTATGCATTTGTTTTGCTAACAATAAATGATGGGTGAATAACAAATGAAACACATGAAAGAGAAATTAGCAACTAAAACGGCAGTTCAATTAACTGTTTTTGTGGAAATGAAAGGCTATCAGTTTTCGATTATAAACAAAAGTGTAGGGCCGTAACTTTATAACTAACTTTAGTTTCAAGAAATTATGATTTTTTGTATTATACTGAACTGAGACTGAAAGTCTCCTATGAATCTACCGAATCCGCTTAACAATAGCTTTAAAATTGTGAGTGTTATTTTCCTATTCACTTGCGACGAAGAATGAATGACCGCACAATCGCCAGATTAAGTGGCTCATTAGGCGCCGAGGAGGTCATGTGAGCCATTTAGGCCAATTGCATAAGCGATCCGATCCACTCAAGTGCTGTCCCAGCACAATTACACGCCGGACAATGGGAGTTCGCAGCCCAAGATATTGTGGAATAGCACACCTGTTATAGAAACACCTCCCCCACCCGATGGACTAATGGAATTTTAACGCTACGAAAAAGGCCACCCACCCACAGGAATTCGCCATCCAACGACCAGGATTAATGCGAACGTGGGTCGCATGTTGCTAATGTAGCTCTTATTAGCGGACATACGCATTCCCATCCCTCATCCTCATTCTCGTGCTCATCCTGCACACCCCCAGTGTCCTGCAACCTGTGTCCTCGGCTAATCCAGTGGAAACATCATTTTGAGCACCTGTTTAATTGCGTTAATCACCAGGAGCAAACATTATTGCCAGCGCCATCAGATGCCGGAATGATTATGACTGGGGTCCTCGGACCCGGACTACCGCGCTTTTTTCGCCCTCAGCACTTTGACCTTTATCCTGGACCTGGATCCTTGGAGTCGGGGTAATGCTAATTTTTATGTACTTTTTCCGGTACGCAGCTGGGTGGAAGTGTCGTCGTTTTGCCCCGGGAGTGCTGAATTAGTTGTGGAAATATGACTTTAATGTTTATGATATTACAACCATGGTACATTCCTATCTTTAGACATATCTTCTATAGGATATGGACCTAGCGAAAGATATAGTCCCTCTAAGCACTTTGTAGTAACATTCTTTCACAGAAAAAAGCCCCAAACCCCAAAAACAGCCCAAGCTTAGATTGTCACTTTGATCTTTATAAATATTGGAGCAGACCGAATTGATCATGAGCTTCTACAAGTACCTGTTTAAGATCCTCGTTCTGGGTGACAGTGGTGTGGGCAAGTCCTGCCTGCTGATGCGTTTCTCGGATGACCGATTCACCGGGAAGTACCTGTGCACGGTGGGCGTGGATTTCAAGGTGCGCAGCGTGGAGGTGGCCGGTCAGCCGGTGAAGCTGCAGCTATGGGACACTGCCGGCGAGGAGCGCTTCAAGTCAATGCTGCCGGCCTATTATCGCGGTGCCCATGGCATTCTGCTTGTCTATGACACAACATCGGCCAAAAGTTTCCGGAGCATCGATGGCTGGCTGGAGGAGATCCAGCTCAAGTGTCCGGATGGGGTGAACGTCCTGCTGGTGGGCAATAAGTGTGATGATCTGCAACATCGCCAGGTGAGCCTGGAGCAGGGCGTCCACTATGCCGATCGTCGGGCACTTGGCTTCCGAGAGGTTTCCGCCAAGAGTGGCGCGAATGTAAATTACGTATTCGCCGCGTTGGCAGTTGACATATACAATCGCCTTGTGGCTTGTGTACCGAATCGCTTGTCAGCTGGGCAGGATGAAAAGGATGAAGCGGAGGACAATGCGAAGCTAGCGGTTGAACATATTAATCTAGTTGGCAAGAATCGGCTAAGGGCCAGAAATAACGAATCCTGTTGTTGAATTATTATATTTCTTAGGACATTTTTCATGAATATATTATTTTAAAAATCAAATAATGTCTACTTGTCACCAAGCTCACTTTATAAGTTTATATTAAATACTGATTATTTCTTATAAAAAAAAAGAAAAAAAAAATTTTGTCAAAAATCTGATATTTTCAATCGCGGTTTTTGCTATAACTTGGCCAAAAAAGGAGGCACAACTAAAACTATGACTGTTTTGTTCTGCTAATTAACATAGCTAACTATTCCTATCACAATTTTTATGATTTTCGGAAAAACAAATTTTACCAAATTTTCGCATTTTTTTTAAGGGGTACCCCCATCAAAATTTGCGAAAAATGGCAAAAAATTAGAATTTACTTTTTTGAATACACGTCGATGGGAAATTTTGTTACGAATTCAACGGGGTATGACATTCTAGGTTTGGACAACTATTTTTATTGCTATCGCAAAAGAACTGATTATTTTTATCAAAAAAAATCGAAAAAAAAATTTGTTGTCAGAAATCGGATATTTTCAATCGGAGTTTTCGCCATAACTAAGCCAAAAAAGAAGGCACAGCTAAAATGAAGACTGTTTTGTGCTGCTAATAAACATAGCTAACTATTCCTATCACCACTTTTATGATTTTCGGAAAAACAAAATTTAACAAATTTTTGCTTTTTTTTAAGGGGTACCCCCATCAAAATTTGCGAAAAATGGCAAAAAAATAGAATTTGCTTTTTTGAACACACGTCGATGGGAAATTTTGTTACGAATTCAACGGGGTATGACATTATAGTTTTGGACCACTACTTTTATTGCTATCGCAAAAAAACGGATTATTTTTATCAAAAAATAATCATAAAAAAAATGTTGTCAAAAATCGGATATTTTCAAACTGGGTTTTCGCCATAACTTAGCCAAAAAAGAAGGCACAACTAAAATGAAGACAGTTTTGTGCTGCTAATAAACATAGCTAACTATGCCTATCACTACTTTTATGATATTCGAAAAAATAAATTTTAACAAAATTTCGCATTTTCGATAAGGGGTACCCCCATCAAAATTTGCGAAAAATGGCAAAAAATTAGAATTTACTTTTTTGAATACACGTCGATGGGAAATTTTGTTACGAATTCAACGGGGTATGACATTCTAGGTTTGGACAACTATTTTTATTGCTATCGCAAAAAAACCGATTATTTTTATCAATAAATAATCATAAAAAAAATATTGTCAAAAATCGGATATTTTCAAACTGGGTTTTCGCCATAACTTAGCCAAAAAAGAAGGCACAGTTAAAATGAAGACAGTTTTGTGCTGCTAATAAACATAGCTAACTATGCCCATCACCACTTTTATGATTTTCGGAAAAACAAATTTTAACAAATTTTCGCTTTTTTTTAAGGGGTACCCCCATCAAAATTTGCGAAAATTGGCAAAAAAATAGAATTTGCTTTTTTGAACACACGTCGATGGGAAATTTTGTTACGAATTCAACGGGGTATGACATTATAGTTTTGGACCACTACTTTTATTGCTATCGCAAAAAAACGGATTATTTTTATCAAAAAATAATCATAAAAAAAATGTTGTCAAAAATCGGATATTTTCAAACTGGGTTTTCGCCATAACTTAGCCAAAAAAGAAGGCACAACTAAAATGAAGACAGTTTTGTGCTGCTAATAAACATAGCTAACTATGCCCATCACCACTTTTATGATTTTCGGAAAAACAAATTTTAACAAATTTTCGCATTTTTTTTAAGGGGTACCCCCATCAAAATTTGCGAAAATTGGCAAAAAAATAGAATTTGCTTTTTTGAACACACGTCGATAGGAAATTTTGTTACGAATTCAACGGAGTATGACATTCTAGGTTTGGACAACTATTTTTATTGTTATCGCAAAAAAACGAATTATTTTTATCAAAAAAAATCGAAAAAAAAATTTGTTGTCAGAAATCGGATATTTTCAATCGGGGTTTTCGCCATAACTTAGCCAAAAAAGAAGGCACAGCTAAAATGAAGACTGTTTTGTGCTGCTTATAAACCCAGCTAACTATGCCTATCACTACTTTTATGATTTTCGGGAAATCAAATTTTAACAATTTTTCACATTTTTTATAAGGGGTACCCCCATCAAAATTTGCGAAAAATGGCAAAAAATTAGAATTTCCATTTTTGAATACAGGTCGATAGGAAATTTTGTTACGAATTCAACGGAGTATGACATTCTAGGTTTGGACAACTATTTTTATTGCTATCGCAAAAAAACGAATTATTTTTATCAAAAAAAATCGAAAAAAAAATTTGTTGTCAGAAATCGGATATTTTCAATCGGGGTTTTCGCCATAACTTAGCCAAAAAAGAAGGCACAGCTAAAATGAAGACTGTTTTGTGCTGCTTATAAACCCAGCTAACTATGCCTATCACTACTTTTATGATTTTCGGGAAATCAAATTTTAACAATTTTTCACATTTTTTATAAGGGGTACCCCCATCAAAATTTGCTAAAAATGGCAAAAAAATAGAATTTGCTTTTTTGAACACACGTCGATGGGAAATTTTGTTACGAATTCAACGGGGTATGACATTATAGTTTTGGACCACTACTTTTATTGCTATCGCAAAAAAACGGATTATTTTTATCAAAAAATAATCATAAAAAAAATGTTGTCAAAAATCGGATATTTTCAAACTGGGTTTTCGCCATAACTTAGCCAAAAAAGAAGGCACAGCTAAAATGAAGACTGTTTTGTGCTGCTAATTAAAATAACTAACTATGCCTATGCCTACTTTTATGAATTTCGAAAAAACAAATTTTGACAAATTTTCGATAAGGTCAAAAGAGGAGGCACAGCTAAAAGAGAGGCATTTGCAAAGGAATGTGAAACTGCGTTTTATTTAAATCATTCGAATAGTATATTGCCAAACACTACCCATTGCTCTATCCTGGACAATCATCCCCTTGCGTTTTACGTGCGCCTTATTATCACCCTCCTCCTCCAGGAAAATGGCAATCAAATCTTTTGGCAATTGCACGCCCCAATTTATTCGGGCTTACTTTCATGTCTTCGGAGATACAAATGGGCGGCGCCCATGCCCATGCTGACCGACAAATGTCTAGATAATCAAAGAGCCTGGCCCTCATCACTATCATCCTATGACTTTGGGGTAAAAGTCCGACAACATTAAGTACTATTTATTATTGCGCAAGTTTGGGTTTGGTTTTATCTATGGTAATCAAGAAGAACTCTTAAATTTGATGCAAGTTAAACTTGTCCCAGCGCAAAACATCAAATGGAAGCTGACTTGTTGATCCCATTTATTCAAAAGTTATTCTAAATGGGTCTAAAAAAAAAGTTACTTACAATGTTATAAATAAGATGTATTCTAAAGATAATGACGTGCGCGCAATGAGTGTCAATGGAACGGCGAAAGTTCTTACAAAGATGGCTATGACTAAGCTAGGAGTGCCAAAAGATTGGAGAGCTAAGGCTGTGTCGAATCGACGTTCTTGGCATATTTAGAGAACAGCTGCGTCAGCTTGGCGAGCAGTGTATCCTGACTGGCCGCGGACAAGTTACCGACGGCGTAGGCCCAGTTTTTCACAACGAGGTCCGGGCTGCAGGTGGTCAAATTGATCTCAGGCAGGAATCCACTTGGTTTAACTTCCTGCGTTACCTCAGAAATTGATTGGTTTAGCTGATTGAGCTGCTGTGGCGTGCGGACTATGAGCTGGCCGTTCGGCTTCACCTGCTTATAGATCTCCGACATGTGATGGAAGTACTTGTGACCCATGGTACATTGATTCATTGGATCGACGATCTTCAGATTGCGCATCTCGCGCAGAGCGTACTGCAGTCCTAAACGGCATTCGGTAACTGCAAGGGAAAGATATACAGTTTTAATTAAATGTATTAATTGACTAATTTATAAACGAATACCTGTGGCATTCAACTCCTTTGATACACGAACCCAGGCGGTTCGCTTGTCAATGGTGCTCGCCCGCTCGAAGGTGTGTGGTTGGCGGCGCAGGACCTTGGTTAGCTCAAAAGCCTCAATGGGGGGTAGATTGCAGGTGGCACTTTTCGTTAGAGGCAGCCGTTTTTGGGCGGACGAGCTGTTCGTGGCTTTATGAGATTTTACGGTGGCGTTTGGCGCTGGCTTGCTCTCGGGTGTCTTTGTGGACACGGAAGCGCCATCAGGTACAGAAGTAGGTTGAGCAGCGCGTGCGACAGTTGGAGCAGTACTTGCGGTTCGCAAGCCATTCAACTTGCCGGTTAGCAAGCGCTTGGCCTCCTCCGTCTCCCATGGCATGGGCACTTTGGAAAGGCGCGTTAGAAGGCTTGCCGGTGTGGGTTTTAGCTTATCGGTAGGATCGGCGGACATTAGAGCCTCGTACATGCTACAGCGTTTCACCTCCTCTGAGATCTTGTTGTGCACGATGTAGTAGTAGGGCTCGAGCGGATGGTAGCGCACATTGGCCAGAAACCTTAGCTGCTCCAGTGCTTGCCACCAGTTTTGTGGCCAAGGATTCTCTACGCCGCGCTCTAGATCCTCCATGTACGTGCGGAAGGCGAACATAAACATTGACCAAATATCCCGATGATTGACTGCAAAACAATGGAAAATGATTAATACATTATTGCCTTATATTATCGGTTAAACCTACGATTTGGGTATTTAATGCGCGCCTCCCGCCACACGTCCTGTTTCTCCAGATCCGTCAACTGGGGTGGAGCTTGGGTCTCTTCGCCAGGTCGCGGCTTGCGCATCTCCCAGTAGAGGTGCTCGTACTTCCCGAAGTGCCGTATTACTTCCGGCAACAGGTCCTTGTGATTCAACCACTGGTATTTTCGTGCTATCTCGTCAAATTTGCTAAACAGGCGATGCGATTTTTCCCACACCTTTACGCTGGCCTTGAACGGACGCATTAGGTCCGACATCGGCGCAATCATCGGGAATACACTCATGTTGTCCGCCAAGAATTTCCAGCATGCGCGCAAAGCTTCCTCTGCAGGAGAAAAAAGGATTAGCAACGTAAGAACCAAAGCTTCTAACATTTATAGCTACTCCTACCTGGCAAGTGAAACTTCTTGGCGATGACCTTCCAGAACTCATCACACTTGGCCGCCAATAGTGGATCTTCCTTGTGCAGCTGCGGCACAGCCATCACCTCGCGGATCAGCGTCGCCGTCCTAACCATATTGAGATTGAACCGAGTAGCCTGGTTGCCGCAACAAATTTGCAGTATGTTCCCAGTGGCGACATTCTCCAGCAGTCGCACGGTTATGTCGCCGACCGGTAATGGCTCCGGTAATGCTTCCTTATCCGCCTGCGATGCTGTTGTTGCCGCAGCTATTGTCGGCAATTTGACTGGTGGGGCCACTGGTGCTGAAATGTCTACTTTAGCCTGGCTGGCCTGTGTTGCCTGGCTGCCCTGTGTTGCCGATGTGGCAGATGCAGCATGTGCTGTAGATTTAGGAAATAATGGTGTCTTTTGTATGGCTCGCACTGTGTGTCCAGTGCGGATTGGTGGAGAAGGTACAGATAGCTCAATTGCTGGCTGTGTTGCAGATTTGGTTGTCGCCTTTGCTGTAGGGGCTGCCGGTACGATTGGACGATATTTTTTGTTGTAATCTGCAGTTGTTGCTGGCACCGCATTCACTTTGGACTTTATCACTGATGTTTTAGCTCTCGCTGGTTCCTCAGCTGGTGCGATAGGAGCTGCTGGTGGCGAAGATGTGGCTGCTAGTGATCCCATTGACTTGCTGGCCGGAGAACTATTGCTCCTGCCTTCCCAACCGCTTTTCAGTCCCGGCTGGTGTATTCGAACCATAGGAGGAGCTGCAGTGGCTGTTGGCTGACTGCTGTTAGCTGTAATATTCGATGGTATTATTGGCACCAAAGTGGGCAGTTTACGTTGCGGAGCTGGTGTATTTATAGGCAGTGGATTTTGCGGTCCAAGCGTTCCGCTGAGCAGTGCTCCCAGTGCTGAGATTGGCCCTCCGGAGGACCTCCGTTGAGGCTGAGCTGGATTTATAGGATTAATCGTTCGAATTATAGAGCGGGGAACTGACGGTGCCATTTGCGGGGGTTTGGTGATTTGAGGCTTCGTATGGATAGTAACCTGCAAGCCAGGACGCTGTGGGATCTGCGGACGCACTTCAGCCGGTTTTGCATTTGAGCCCGCCAGCTGATTGGTAGCGGCGATGGGGGACACGCCCGTACCCATAGTCCCCGTCGTCTTGGGTGCAATTCGTAATGTCGGCGGCAGCTTCAGTGGTATCGTATTGACCGAGCTCACACTGATGGCGGACGTGATCTTGGGAATGACAAACGCGGGAACAGCTTGATCGGGCGACACGCTTGAACTGACGCTCTTGGTTGCGGCGGCGGTGGACGCGTTGTTGATGCCTGGGCCAGAGGAGCTCTTGACTTTCTTGAAGGTGGGGCCAGTGCTTGTGGCAGTGCTCGTGCTGCTGCCTTTTGAGGTGGGCGGGTAGACAATAGCCAGTGGCAGACGTGCCGGAACCTGTGTCTTGGACGGTGTCTCCCCCACCAGTGGTATTGAGCCGTTTGCTTTGCGTTTCAGGGCTTGACGGGGCGCGGAACGAGAGACAACTTGCTTGAAGATACTGCTTAGGGCGTTCTCAAAATACCACTTGTCCTGCAGTTGATAGCCGGCTAAGCGCATGGCCTGCAATTCGTGGTGGAAGGAGCGCAGTACCAGCCAGGTGACCTCGCAGCGCTCGTGGCTGGCCATTACTTCCATACCGACCTTCTGCCAAAACTCGTCGTAGCGCGGCGGCTTCACCTCGTGGTTGAGAGATTCGTCCGTCAGCTGCACTAGTTCCGGCATGTTGCGCATCGTATTGATCAGCGCCATCACGCTGCGAAAGTGCTCGATGGGCTCGTGCCATCCGTTTTGCAGGTACTTGGAAGCCTTGCATACCGTGTTGCGCTGGAGCTGTACGTGCGGTTGCATGAAGCCCATCCGTTGGCACAGCTCCGAAGTGCCGACCTGAGAAGGGCGGTGGGTCAGCTCCCATTCGTAGCGAGTTAGCAGCGTCAGCCAGCTCTTCATCAGCTTGGTGGCTTTGTCATGGAGTTCGTTGGAAATGGCACCCCAGACTAGGCCGCGATGTCGTCTGTTCTGATAGCCCATGCACATGGCATTGTACAGAATGGGATACGCCTGGACTGCCTCAATGAGGCGACGCTGTTCCCTAGTGCAACGGTAGTGATATGTGGCGTCCTCTTCGAGATCCAAGTCTATGATGTCCACAGCCGGAGGTTCCACAAACTCCACATCGGGCAGGGTCTTACTCTCAACTACCTTTGCCGTTTCCACGATCTCTGGCGGCTGGCTCTTCTCCACAATCAGTGGGAACCTGGCCACATGGGAATACAGAAAGAGCAGCTCCTCCTCGTGTCGCATGCAAGGACGCCGACGCTGGACCGTCTGATGGCTTTGGGTGGCACTGCGTTGGAAGGCCCTTAGACGTCGCACATGGCGCTGGAATCTGTAGCGCAGCTCCGACCAGGCCACCAGGCAGTTAGTTAGATCCGTTCCCAGGCGGCGGGCGATTTTCTGCCATTGTTCATCCCTGTGAGCGACGTCGTGGAATCTGGGATGCCGGGCATCATACAATATCGGCTGGCGGCGTACCAAAGCGATCAACCGCCTCTCTGCCTCGGAGCTTAGCAGGACGCCGGCTTCCCCTGATCCCGGATTGGTGTTTCTGCTAATCGGATTTGCGGCTTTAACGCCAACCACACCTTTCCTCTTGTGTCCGATTTGGTCAGCTTTGAGGAAAGAAACGGCAGTTAGTTAAACGGATGACCAGGTGACATACTGTTGGACTTACAAACAATGACCTGGCCATCATTGCCGATGGCAACTGGCTTCTCCTCCATCTCTTAGACACCTTCCAGCGTTCCAATCTTGGCTAAACCGCGCTTTTCCCCCACACAAGCCGTCGAGAATTCTCGAAACGGAGAAACCGGTGGCCAATCCGCTGGACCCACAGCTATATTTGTACTCTTGTTTAGCATAAAATCACTCGGAGATAATTTGGGAACCAGTTGCAACCATAGAAATCTTAATTACAAGCGCAAGTTTCTCCGGAAATAAGTTTTTTTGCGACACCAAAAAGTCGGCGCTTGCAAACGCGAATTGCTTGCAACATTTATCGACAACCGATGCAGTTATCGATATATTCGATTAATATTTGAGTGTGCGGTAGTATTGCTAACAACTTTGTTTGTGTTTTCCATTGTATTTAAGTGTAAATACTTTCAAGTGTACTTGATTTAGTTGAAAAAACACGTCACAATTGTAAAGCTACCTTCTATTTGCTACCCATTGGGATATCAGTGCAGTTATCGATAGCAGCCAATCGCTGAGAGCCGATTACCGATTACTCCCACATGCGAGCAACCTAATCTCGTCGGTCTGGCAACGCTGCAACATGTCAGCTGTTTAACCGGCCTGTTTTTCCACGAATGTTTTCATAACGCGCTTTTCATTCAAACTGAATCAAATTGTATAAATTTATCACGAAGACTCGCTGCGAACCATGTGGGCAAGGACACACTGCCTCTGGCGCAGTGTGGGACGTCTGGGCCGCCAAGTGTGCACCACGAGCGTTTCACAAGCGCGGATTTTCGCGGACCGCGAGAATCAGTTCGCCCATGGAATCCTGATGGATTCTCTGAAACCGTATGCAATACTGCGTCCTCGGGACGCAGCCTGGCAGGATATGCCCGCCTCTGAAGACTTCATGCGGCCACAGCCAAATGCCAGTTCTGCCGATCTCTATGCGGACTTCTTGGGCCTGGTAAGGCACTGCAACCGCCTGGAACTGCAGATAAGCGATAGCCGCTACGTCGACTTCACGCGCTGCTTCTGTGAGCAGCTGCATCGCCTTACGGATGAGCAACTCCTCGGATCGCTTAGTGCCTTGGCCGAGCTGCCTGTACCGGAATCGCCCAAAGCCAGGAACTACATGGAGATATGGAATACGCTGGACATTGAGTGCTGTCGTCGCATCGAGCGCTGGTCCAGTGAACAATTGCTACTCGTGAGCGATGCCTGGTATCGTCTTGGTCTGGTCAGGATCGGCGAGTATGTGTGGCTGGCGCTGAAGAAGCTGGGACGCAAGCTGCGAAAACTGCCCCCAGAGCAGCTTGTCCACTCCATGTTTCTGTGCAATCTGCTCCGCCGACCTGTCTTCGAGATGTTCGACTTTGAGCTGAATCTGGCTCGCTGCGTGGATGAAATGACCCTGTCCGAACTGGGCGTGATGGCCATGGGTTTCTTCAAGACACAGACGCCCATCAGAAATCCGGAACTGCTGACGCAAATCTACCAGCGGTTAGGCAGCGAACTTGACACCGTGGAAGACATTGTCCTGGTAGCGCTGCTCAAGGTGCTGCGATACAGCAGCAAGCTGCCCCAAGTGGAGGCGCTTAAGCAGTTGCTAAATGCTTTGGAGTCTCAAGTGGAACGCGTTTCCCTGCTCACGTGCCTGCACATGGCTCTTCTGGGCTGTGAACTGCAAACTTGCAATGATGCACTGGTGGAAAGCATACTGCTGAGATTCGAGCGTGAGTTGGAGACTGTCCGCCTAAAGGATATGGAGCGCATTTGCCTGGTAATGGCACTGTTCAATATTACCACTAAGTCGGGAGTGGAACGCCGATTGGTGGAAAGACTGCCCGAGTTACTACGCCTGCGGATGGAGGAGATACTGCGACATCCTCGTTGTTTCTCCAACTGTCTTCAGTTTCTGACAATGCGCGGTGTTTACGATCTTGAGCTTTTGGGCGTGGCACTGGAGCCGCGGTTCCTAAAGCATGCGTACCCAAGCGGATTGCCCGGGCGAGAGTACTTCCATCTGGACGGGTTCGCTCGCCTTCTGGGGCAGGAGGAATACCAGGGAGCACTTGTTACCGCTAAGCAACGACAGCAGATGGGCCACTTGTATACGCAGTACATCCCCGAGCGGGACGGACGCTTCAAGCTGAACAGTACCGATCGCATTCTAGTGGAAGTACGGGATGCAATCGCCCTGATCCACCGTCCTGTGACCTTCAAACACATCCTGCCGCAATACGAGCGCTGCGATATAGTGCTCTGCTACGACCACCGGCAAGGGAAGGCGCTGTCTATAAATGCAGAGGCCTGTCAGGATTACAGCGGAGAGATTCTCACCCGGAAGCACTTACTTGGTGAGAGCAGGTCTGCAGATGACCAGCTGGCCACGGTGGTAATCGTTATTGCCGGCTGGAACAACGTAATCCGCCAGAAGGAGCGGTTCACCGGACAAATGGATATGAAGCTAAGGCAGCTGCGGCAATTGGGACATCAGCCACTGGTGGTAAGCGCCTCTTAATGCAATGACGCTATGTAAACTATATTGCAATTATTGAAACTTCTTTATACTTGGAACCAAGCGGTTAAGCACACGAACTTCTCCTCTATCTCTTTCTCTTTTAATTGACTTGATATCAATTTATTCACAACTGGTAGTTATCACGCTCTCTCTTTTTCTTTTCATACCAATTGTGTATTTTTTTTACTCAGAATGCTGTATTTTTATAATTACTTTTGTAATTGTCTAATCATTTTCTGCTTTGTTTCGCAGATCTATTGGCACGAATGGCGCGAACTGGAAAATTCAGCTGACCGCCTGGACTTTCTGAGACGCCGCCTCAGCCAAGTGGCGAAAATTTAGCAGGAACATGAGAACCAGGCAAACGTTAAATGTCAATGAAATGAAAAACAGCAATAGATTTGATATTAGTCAGTCATTAGCATTATCGGAACATTGTACAGGCACAACACTACGATCTATTAATTATCTAGAAAAAAAAGAAATAATTATCGAATATTTAATAATGACCGCCCGCGGCCCACAACTACTAGCACAGCGCCTTGCTCCCGGATCCCCGCAACCGGACCGGACCCCGCCGTTCGTCGCGCTCCATTGGATGGCAGGTGGCGTCGTCAGAGGGTGGCGCTCATCGCTCGCTTGGTGTACTCGTAGACCACAAATAGGGTGGCCGTGGCTGGAATGGTGCGCAGGACAGATGGCAGCAGACCGCGGTAGAGTGCCAAGACACCTTCGCGGCGAACTATGTCTGCTCCCACGGCGAACATGCTCTCGTTGAGGTTCTTCACCTGGATGCGGCTTTTAATCACGTCTGCAGGAAATGTCGACGTCCACAGGCACACGCCTCCAATGGCGCCGGCGATCATCGTACGCAGCGGTCCAATGTCATCTTTGGATTGATCATCGCTGAAAGCAAGAGTAACATCTCCCATTTCAATAGAGTAACGAATGTCAACTTATGTTCCTAACCCGTTGCCTTTGTGATCATCTTGTTAATTTGCTGTCTAACTAGGGTTTTTGTTAAGTTATTGTTGAACAAATTCTGTACATGACTAAATATAACTATACTGCCAATTAGTATGATAACCAATGATGCTGGTGTTTTCGAAACAGCAATTTATAAGTTTTCTCTCGACCATCAATGGCTGTATTCACGAAATTCATTTGTACTCACCGGCGAAGTATTTCGCGGGTTCCCTCGTAGCTACCGAAAAAGAAGAAGTATCCGGGCATCTCGCGCAGGAAAGTCGAGCTCAATCCCCGATAGAAGCCTTTGATGCCTGCGGAAAAGTGATTAATCAATGGAAGCTTGCAAACAGCGGCGACGGAGATGGGCACGTGAGGATGGGGCTATCTATCAATTTCGCATTGAGCATCAATCGAACGCGAAACGGAAACGTGCTCATGATCTGCCGACTTGAGGCCGTCGATTGTGGGGCACAGCAGTAAATTTCCACTTGACTGATAGTGGCCCTACCATGTGCACTGGCCACAGCTGCACGTTCCGCTCCTTATTTTCCGATCCCAGCTATGCACTAGCACGATAATACCCTGTATGTGTACAGATCTGTCTCGCACTACGTCACTGCTGTGCGTGGCATGTTTCGAACAGCGGCTATTAATAGTCTTATCAGTTTTCATAGAAATCCCTAATTCGCTTTTCGCAATCTGCGTAGTAAATACTCAATATTTATGTTTTGGAAAATAACGAGAGGTATGACAGCCTTCATCGTGTTCGATTAGATTTGATTGACTGCCTATTTAAGGCTTAGCTGCTTTTCATGGCTTGAGCTTCCTGTTTTTTGCAAAACTATTAAAAATATTCCAATAAGACCCTAGGTTGGCTGCTCGTAAACGCAATATATTTCAAATATTTGATGTCCCACAGATTAAGTTCTAGACAAATTAGATCATAAAAAGTTTATAGCAGACTCTCGTCTGGTTACAATTCCTATGGCATTTAAAGAAAGCTGATCCGCAGATTCTGAGAATGGTCAAAACTGAAGCGTTTTCAAGATCGCATTACCCTGGCATTTGTCAAGCGTAATTTAAGTCCCTGTGTATTGAAAGCAAAATGAATGCTGAAGTTTTGTAATTGAATGAGCGATAATAGGTTTTTGCCAGGCGATAAGGGCCGCCAAACGGAGCGACTTTTAATCGCATTAGGTATAACCCATCGCACTTATGTTTAAGCTGGTAACTATGCCAAGAGCAATTATAAATTATAGCTGAATCGAAAGTTAAATTTAACCGCCCTCACAGTGCCAATGGATCCGGCAACTCCAAGTAGATCCGATCCGCAACCATGTGGTTGCTTCATTTGTATGGGTGCGATGCGTATCTGTGTCTATATCGCGCACTGCGATGCGATAATTGTGAATTATTAGGAGGTACAGATCGGCGAAAGCCACGCGTAGATAATCTAATCGGACTCGAGAATAACAATAATAGGTTTCCCGGTTTCTCAAGGCTACGCCCCCCACAAAATATTCGGGATAAATGGGATCGTTGCGAATTAATTTGGGCATTTAGTAGTTCCCTAATACAGTGTTATCTCGTAACAGCAAACTGAAAACTTCACTCTTAGTTTATTTAAGTATTCTCAATTCACTCAAAAAGTCTGACCAGTCCTAACTCAAACGATCATCAGAATTATGCTAAATAGATAGGACTTTACTTTAAAGGACATTACTCATACGCAATATAATCTGGACCTCAAAAGATATATTTATATAGTTTTTAGCCAAGTGTAGTTGCCATGATTAAATGGTTATATCGCTTGTTAAATACTGTGATTTATCACATACTATATAGGGCGTGCTCACGAAAGTATACATTTGCTAAGTGTAGATGCTAAGGAACTTCGCTTCGAGTCGTAGATACAATGTATCTCCGCTCGAAGGTATGCATTCCGCTAGATACAGCGCAAGGACACTCACCCTCGGTCCGCCAGATGTAGCGCGTCAGAGTCCAGGGCGTGCGTATGTCCTGCGGATGGGCCGGCTCAACGAAGTGCTTCATCTCGCGCAGCGCCTGCAGCTTGCACTTGATCAGCTCCGTGGGGCAGAGGGTCAGTGTGGAGAAGCAGGCGGCCAGTGAACCGGCGCAGGCATTCTGAACGGTGGTCAGATCGCCGGCTGTCTCCTTGCCAACGCAGAAGGCAACGAATTTCTGGCATCCGCCGTAGGCGGCGAACAGCACCGAGTTCTCGGCCACATTGGCGAATACGGCCGGAACGGATCCGGCGTACAATCCGTGCAGTACGCCATCCTTGCGGTATGTGCTCACAAAGCAGTCCCACATGCCGCGATACGCCTCCGGAAAGGTCTGCAGCTTGACCTTGACCGTGTCGAGGGGCTGGGACACATACACCTGGGCCGCTCCGCCCAGGGATCCCGCCATAAAGTCGATCAGACCCTCGACGAAGTTAATGTTGTTCCCCGTCGTGCCGCCGTGCATGTCTAGACGTCGTACGAACCGCAGAAAACCGCCGACCACGAACAACAGGCCGTCGCGTACGGACCTCAGCGTCGATTTCACACTGATCGGCCTGCTCAGCCAGCCGCTCTTCTCCCCATCGCTTGCTCCGTCGATCTCTTGCCCCTCCTGCGGGCGGGGGAAGTGGGTGAGGTAGCGGTACAATAGGGTTGTCAGCGTTTGGTTACACATCGCATGTGGGGAGTGTTCCCGATTCCACATCGAATGTGGTGTTGGTGTGGTGGAATTGAAATCACTAAATGTAGCAGTATGGTTTGATGCTAAAAACACAGTGTGCAACAAGTATAATAATAATCGATGAACTCACACTATAATCAAAACGATATAATCAAATCATTTATACAAGATCATTTCGTTTGTTGTTAGTCGACATAAATATTTCGATCATCGATAATTTCGATAAGGGCGAAATAAGTTAGCATGGCAAAATGCTAATTAAAGAAAGGGATTCTTTCGCTTGGTGTGGCTAGGTACCATAGGTGATCGATAAGTTGATCGATCAACTACGCAAGCTGCCAGATTGATCGCGATAACTTAGTCGAAGCGAGTGTATCGATAGTTTGCCTGTCGCTTTCGACAACTCTACCTGCAGGGCGCGTTCGTAGGCTTCGATTATTTGGTCGGGCGTCATTATCAGCACGCTGCTGCCCACTTGACTGCTGCCGATTCGCGGGGGCGGCGGCGGCAACGCGTCTTCGTTGGGCGGCTGCTCGGGTGGCGCCTCGTCCGCCGGTTGGCTCTTCGGGCGGTGCTGTTTGATCGGTTCGATGGGCGGCAGGGGCGGTACGAATTCTGCCGCTTCGCTGCCAGCCTCGTCATTATCGTCATCTTCATTGTGGTTGCTGGTGAGCGCTGCAGCGCTGGCGGTATCCCGCTCGCACTCGCTCATGGGAACGGGCGCGAGAAAGGGATGGGGCGCTGGGTCCGGTGCTCGTGCTGTCCCTTTCTGTTCCTGAACGAGCGATTTCCGGGAGAAAACGGCAATTTTTTCGGTATGTTAAAATTTGTAAAATTTTTTTTTTTTTTGGGTTTCTGAGATTGTTAATGAAAAGCCAGGTGGTTTGTGGTTTCCTTTCAAATAATTGTTCGATTTACGGTTTATTAATAATCGATAATTTGATTACGCCATATGCATATATAGGTGTATATATATCATGTGGATCAGATCAGCGATCTCTCTCCCCTTCTCTCTTTGTGTTCGAGTGTGTTTGTTTATATTTATTATCATGGTTTTTGGTTTTTTGTTTTTTTTATTTCATTTTCATTTGTTGTATGTGGTGTATATCTCGTTTCATTATGCTGTATTTCCTCTCCTTTATCGCCTTCTTCGCTCTTATATAAATTTCATAATTTACATTAAATCATAGCTTAGTTGTACAAATACCATTTAGTACAGTTATGGGTAGTTTATATCGATATATAGCCCATATACCATACTGGATACGTATTATTTATAATTAAAAAGTACAAAAAAAAGACTTCGAGTTCTCGAATTCATTCCGTTAAGTGTTTAGATGCTTGAGCTAAGTTCCTGATCGGTCGCGTATTGTATCTATATCTTCTGCTTTACATATACATACATATAGTGTGCATCTTCTTGTGCCGTTTCGTTTCGTTTTTGTTTTATATTCTTTGGATCGCTGAGTTTGCAGTTTTCGGATGGGAAAAGCTGAAGATGGGGTTTGGAAAGCCGAATTTTGGGAGCTTGGAGTTTCCGTCCTCTGGTAACACTTTGTACTCGTTTATATGCGTTTACTTTCACTTGGTGTAAAAATATTATTATCAACATCGTTTCTTATATCATTATTACCTTTTTCTATCCAAACTCAGCGGCGAATTTGCGTTTAAAAAAATGTTCTCATCAGGCTTATGTTTTTATCGTTATCTATGTTTTCTGTCGCATTCATTTCAGGGCTATAATTATATATATGTATATATATATATTTATAATAATTATGCTTCCTATACAACTATACATATTTCTTATTATTGTGTACAAATACAAAATCGACTTGCCAGCCGTCGAATGCCAGAGAGGCTAAACATAAAATACACTTAGACGTATTGGCACACATTCCGAAATTAACATTCGAAATTTTCAAATTTCGTTTTAGAGGATTCAGTAAATCGCTTAAATTGCATATACTTTTTGACTAGACAGGATTTGTAAACAAAATCTAAGGTTACATTTTCCAAAGAATAGCAAAAAAAATCAGTAAAAAGAATATGGCGTCTTGTGACATTTTCTTAACATTCCATTTATTTCCATATTATTCCATTTTATGCAGAGAACCCTGTTATAATTCTTATTTTACACATTATCAAGTATAAGTTCTTTGGAATCTGCACAAAACGAAAGAAAGTTTAAAAAAAAAAAAAAAAAAAATGAAAAAACAAACTTTAAATTAAACTACTGTTTTTCGTCGACGCGGTTCAGGATGTCCTCCACTTGGAGCCCACAAAGTGCACTTTAATCCGAACGTCCCCGTTCCCGTTCCCGATTCTCGATTAGTAGTAGGCAGGGAAGGGGTGGTAGTTCGACGGATTGGAGGCGTGGTGGTTGGCGGATGGCAGGACGGGCGGTGGCCTAACGCCCGGATGGTAGTTACTCGACGCCACCTGATGGTAGGCACCAAAACTCCTGGCCATGTGGCGATTTTGGGCCGCTGCCGCCGCCGATTCGCCCAGTAGGCGTGACTGATCCGCCGTTCCCAGCAATCGGTTGTTTTGCTCCATCAGCAGATGGGCGGTGGGATCCACCAGCAGGCGGTGCTGATCGGCCGCATTGGAGGCGGCCAGTATGCGATGCTGCTCCACCGTCGACAGCAGTCGATGGTGCTCCAAACTCTCGCGACTCTGGTGCTGCATCTGCGATGAGAGGAAGGAGCGATTGTTGCCCACCGCCATGTTGGCCGTATTCGGTGTCAGATCCAGCGAGGCCATGCGCAGCATATCGTGATGCGTGGGATGGTTGTAGGGAAGCTGCGGCGGCGACGACACCACATAGTTGGCCGTCCGGCTCAGATCCACCGATGTGGTCTGGTCGTGCTCCTGCTCGCCCAGCTGCTCGCTGAGCATGTTGTGCATGGCGGCCGCCGACTGCTGGTGCTGCTGCATGGCATGGTGCTGGCCATGGCCGTGCTCCTGCTGGTGCACCACCGAGGCGGCGCCACCGGCACCACCGCCCCCACCGCCGCCCACCACCGCACCGCCCGCCTGCTGAGCCTGCTGGCTCTGCTGCTCGCGATCGGAGAGTATGTCGTAGATGTGGTGGTGATACCGACTGCTCGGCAACTGGAAGTTGTGATGGTAATTGCTGCTGGCCGCATTCGATCTGGAGCTCATGTCCAGTCCCTGGAGGTCGGACAGATCGTTGGCGGCACTGGCCGCCGCTGCTGCAGCCGCTGCTGCGCTTGCTGCCGCATTGCCACCGTTGCCGGCGCCTCCCTGGCGGTACTCCGCCGGCGAGTCCAGCTCCTGGCTGTTGTACTTTAGGTTGCTGGCCATGCTCTCGTACTTGGAGTACATCAGGTCGATCTGCGACTGCGGGAACTTCATGCGCATGTCCTGGCCAGCGCTGCTGTGAATAAATCGCACTCAATGCTTTTAGTATCAAATGTAATGTAATATAATTTATAAATACTACTGTTAATCATAAAAGGGTTTGAAAAAAGAAAGAGCAGTAGTGATTCTGTGGCATCTTCACCTGTTCTGTGGCATTATGCTGTTCTCCTCGTCGCTGGACATCTGGTTGTGCCGCGAGATGTTCTGCCGCTGGCGCTCCTGGTGCTCCTGCTCCTGGACCGCCCGCTTGTGGCGCATCATGTCGCCGTTGAAGTTGTAGCGCGGTATGCTCGGCGAGGAGGCGGGCGAGATGAGCTCATGCTCCGGATAGGTGCTGCCCACGCTGGAGGCGTTCCTCCTCTGCGGCTGGAGGGCGGGCAGTGGCGATGAGGCGGACATGCTGTTGGCGCCGCCTCCACCGGCACCACCGCCTCCTCCTCCGCCGCCACCGCTTGAGCTGCCCGCGGGAGTGCTGTTCGATCCGGGACCACCTCCTCCATTGCCGGCACCGAACATACCGCCGTAATCTCGACCCGGTGATATCGGCGGTGGCGATGGCGGTGTGCGGTGGTGCGACGAGGAGAAGCCATCCGAGTCCGGATGCTGCGGACGCGGCGTACTGCCCGCATCCACGTCCACATCGTTCTGGTTCTGGTTACTCTGCGGATTCGTCGGCGTCGAGGCGCTGGGCGATATGTTGCATGCACCCTGGAACATTGGCAGCGGTGGAATCTGCATCGGAAAACTGCCCAGATTCTTCATCATCTTTAGCTCGTTCTCCAGGTTGTCCATGGCGCCACCGATGCCACTTCCGTTCGCGCCGCCCGAAGATCCTCCGCTACTTCCTCCTCCGCCGCCACCACCGCCTCCTCCACCCGCTCCGCCGGCACTGCCCGCTCCAAATCGCTGCGACTCGGGATCCACGTGGGCACTCATGGGACTGTCGCTGTTTATGTGGTTGTCGGTGGGAACCTGTGGGTTGGTGAGCGTGTTTGGATATCAAAATATTTTAAGTACATTTCACTATGATAACTTTGCTGAAAGAAATGACTGTAAACGACTCCCCATCACTATCGCCCTGATTTTCGGGAAACGCATTTCTTACATTTTCGCATTTTCATTATCAAAATTTGCAAAAACGGGTCAAAAATAAAAAATTCCAAGTTTGAATACAGGTGGGTAGGGAATTTTGCTACAAATTCAACGAGGTATGCCAATCCACTTTTGGACAACTATTTTTTTTGCTATCGAAAAAATACTGATTATTTTTTATAAAAAAAAAAATTTTTAATTTTTGTCAAAAGTCAGATATTTTTAAACGGGGTTTTCGCCATAACTTGGCCAAAAAAGGAGGCACAGCTAAAATAAAGACTGTTTTGTGCTGCTAAATAACATAGCTAACTATTCCTATCACAATTTTTATGATTTTCGGAAAACGAAATTTTAACAAATTTTCGCCTTTTTTTTAAGGGGTACCCCCATCAAAATTTGCGAAAAATGGCAAAAAAAAAGAATTTACTTTTTTGAACACACGTCGATGGGAATTTTTGTTACAAATTCAACGGGGTATGACATTCTAGTTTTGGACCACTACTTTTATTGCTATCGCAAAAAAACGGATTATTTTTATCCAAAAATAATCATAAAAAAAAATGTTGTCAAAAATCGGATATTTTCAAACTGGGTTTTCGCCATAACTTAGCCAAAAAAGAAGGCACAGTTAAAATGAAGACAGTTTTGTGCTGCTAATAAACATAGCTAACTATGCCTATCCCTACTTTTATGATTTTCGAAAAAATAAATTTTAACAAAATTTCGCATTTTCGATAAGGGGTACCCCCATCAAAATTTGCGAAAAATGGCAAAAAATTAGAATTTACTTTTTTGAATACACGTCGATGGGAAATTTTGTTACAAATTCAACGGGGTATGACATTCTAGGTTTGGACAACTATTTTTATTGCTATCGCAAAAAAACGGATTATTTTTATCCAAAAATAATCATAAAAAAAAATGTTGTCAAAAATCGGATATTTTCAAACTGGGTTTTCGCCATAACTTAGCCAAAAAAGAAGGCACAGTTAAAATGAAGACAGTTTTGTGCTGCTAATAAACATAGCTAACTATGCCTATCCCTACTTTTCTGATTTTCGAAAAAATAAATTTTAACAAAATTTCGCATTTACGATAAGGGGTACCCCCATCAAAATTTGCGAAAAATGGCAAAAAATTAGAATTTACTTTTTTGAATACACGTCGATGGGAAATTTTGTTACAAATTCAACGGGGTATGACATTCTAGGTTTGGACAACTATTTTTATTGCTATCGCAAAAAAACGGATTATTTTTATCAAAAAATAATCATAAAAAAAAATGTTGTCAAAAATCGGATATTTTCAAACTGGGTTTTCGCCATAACTTAGCCAAAAAAGAAGGCACAGTTAAAATGAAGACAGTTTTGTGCTGCTAATAAACATAGCTAACTATGCCTATCCCTACTTTTATGATTTTCGAAAAAATAAATTTTAACAAAATTTCGCATTTTCGATAAGGGGTACCCCCATCAAAATTTGCGAAAAATGGCAAAAAATTAGAATTTACTTTTTTGAATACACGTCGATGGGAAATTTTGTTACAAATTCAACGGGGTATGACATTCTAGGTTTGGACAACTATTTTTATTGCTATCGCAAAAAAACTGATTATTTTTATCCAAAAATAATCATAAAAAAAAATGTTGTCAAAAATCGGATATTTTCAAACTGGGTTTTCGCCATAACTTAGCCAAAAAAGAAGGCACAGTTAAAATGAAGACAGTTTTGTGCTGCTAATAAACATAGCTAACTATGCCTATCCCTACTTTTATGATTTTCGAAAAAATAAATTTTAACAAAATTTCGCATTTTCGATAAGGGGTACCCCCATCAAAATTTGCGAAAAATGGCAAAAAATTAGAATTTACTTTTTTGAATACACGTCGATGGGAAATTTTGTTACAAATTCAACGGGGTATGACATTCTAGGTTTGGACAACTATTTTTATTGCTATCGCAAAAAAACTGATTATTTTTATCCAAAAATAATCATAAAAAAAAATGTTGTCAAAAATCGGATATTTTCAAACTGGGTTTTCGCCATAGCTTAGCCAAAAAAGAAGGCACAGTTAAAATGAAGACAGTTTTGTGCTGCTAATAAACATAGCTAACTATGCCTATCACCACTTTTATGATTTTCGGAAAAACTAATTTTAACAAATTTTCGCATTTTTTTAAGGGGTACCCCCATCAAAATTTGCAAAAAACGGACAAAAATACAAATTTTCAAGTTTGAACACAGGTGGATAGCGAATTTTGTTACAAATTCAACGAGGTATGCCATTCCACTTTTGGACAAATATTTGCATAGTTATGGCGAAACATTTAACTACTTTGTAACAAAAATCGGCTAATGACATTTTCACATTTTGCAGGATGGGCTCTTTGGGAAAAACCACGACCGATCATAGTTTCCCGTACTAAGTTTCATTTCATGTGCGCATACTTGGCCACTCACCTTGAGGTCGCTGCTCTCGCTGTCAATCATATTGCCAACGGAGTTGAGGGCCGCCTCCACCAGCATGCTGGCCGAAGAGGAGCCGCCGCCGACGCCCACGCCCACGCCGCCGCCCACTCCGCCCACACGGGCATTGGCGTTGTTGTAGAAGGAGCTCATGAAGGACTGCGAGTGGGCGAGGGAGTTCATCTGCATCTGGGGCTCATCGCCACCGGCGACAGTGCCGCCGGTCGCTGGACCCGTTGGCGTTTGGCCGCCACTGCCGCCGCCCCCGCTCCCGCTGCCCGTACCGCCGCCGTAGTGCGACATGGCCGCTGCTGCGGCGGCGGCGGCCGCAGCATTGTTGTTGGACTCGACGACGTCCAGGAAGGAGCTGTTCTCATCCTCCTCGCGGCTGTGGGCGCTGTGCTGGTGCTGCTGGTGCGGCTGATGCGGCTGGTGGGCGTGGGCATGGGCATGGGCGTGGGCATGAGCGTGGCTGGCGCTGGCGCTGCTCATGAGGCGGGCGAGGAAGTCACGGTTCTGGCCGAGCAGCTTGCTGTGCTCATCGACGGCGCTGGGCGGCACAGCGAATCCCAGATCCGGGCCTGGACCGGAGCCACCGGTCAGCTGGCCACAGGCACCACCACCGGGGCCACCACCGCTGTCGCCCGGGCCACCGCCACCACCGCCCGCTCCCTCGCCGCCGACATCGCTGGAGTCCTGCACCTCCTGGATCCACTTCTTGCTGCCCTTGCTGACCACCAGATTCTGGCCGAGAGCGGCGTTCATGGCGGCCGCATGGCGGTAGTCCTGCTGGCCCGCCCCCTGGCCGGCGGGATGCTGGTGCGGGTGGGCGTGCGAGTGCGAGTGGGCGTGGTGCGGGTGGGCGTGCGCATGGACGTGCGAGTGGTGGGCTTGGTGGGCGTGAACGTGTGGATGGTGTTGCACAGCCGCGCCGCCGCCACCGCCACCACCGCCGCCACCGTCGTCGTCGTCCTCATCGTCGTCCTCCTCCTCGTCCATGCCCACGCCCACACCGACGCCCATGTGGCCCATCATGTGGCCGAGCTTGGCGGGATCCTCGCCAGCTCCGGCCATCGCCGAGACCGCTGCCGCTGCCGCCACCACCTGTTGCACCTGCTGCTGGGCACTCAATCGCTGGGCGGTGGTGGTGAGGAAGGACTCCACCAGGCTCAGCTGGGCGTTCTGCTTGCGACGCACCTGCTCCAGGCGAGCGTTCTCCACCTCCTCGTCGTCGGGATCGCCGTGCAGCTGCTGCTGCTGCTGCTGTTGTTGCTGCTGTTGCTGCTGCTGCTGATGCGGCAGGGCATGGGCGTGCAGCTGGTGCGGATGGTACTGCGGATGCTGTTGCTGCGGATCGTGATGCAGCTGCTGGTGCTGCTGGTGTAGGTGGTGCTGCTGCTGCTGCTGATGCTGCTGGGCGTGTTGCTGCTGCAGCTGTTGGTGCTGCAGCTGCTGGGCGTGCTGCTGCTGGTGCTGTTGCTGGTGCTGCGACTGTTGCTGCTGCTGCTGCTGTTGCTGTTGCTGCTGCTGCTGCTGCTGGTGGAGATGGAGCTGCTGCTGGGCCGCCACGCCCGGCTCCTTCTTGCGCTTCCGCTTGCGACCGCCCGAGGAGGCGACAGCCGAAACGGATGCGGAAAGGGAGGCTGTGGCCGACGGCACCTTGTCACCGAATATGCTGGAGATCTTGGAGCTGAGCAGCGAGAGATTGGGCTCATTGCGACACAGGTCCTTGATCGACTTGCCGCTCTTCTTAATCGCCTCGAATAGGTTGTCATCGCTGAACTCCGCGTCGCTCTGCAGCGATCCGCTGAGCATGGAGCTCTGGTCCTCGAGGCTCTTGCGCCGCCGGCGCGGTGCTTGCTCTGTGAACGAGGAGGGGGAGACGACGGCCGCATTAGGGCGTGGCTGCGCCTGCGCCGATGCCGCTGACGCCGGCGTAGCCGTCGCCGTCTGCTTACCCAGAAAATCGACCTTCATGCCGCCGGAATAGGCATCGAAGGTGTAGGCCACGCTCCGCTCGATCTTGGGCATCTGCTCCTGGGTGTAGTTGTGCACCTTCTTGTAGTGGAACTGCAGGCACTGCTTGGTGGTGAACGCCGCATTGCACTCCGGCTCGGCGCATCTAAAATGGACGTAGCGAATGCATTAGAATAGCAACAAAATCTGGATGAGTATGTAGTGAAGGTGCACCCACTTGAACGGCCTGACGCCCGAGTGGGTCAGCATGTGGATCTTGAGATTGCTGCGATTCTGGAAGAGTTTCTGGCACCGCGGACAGCTCACCACCGTCGAGTTGCGGCTGTGCACCTCCTTCGAGTGGCGCTGCAGTGCCGCTCGCGATCCTAGAAGTTTTGAACATAATTTACACTGAAAATCTCGTAAAACTTCAGCCATATCTAAAATGAAATTGTATGAAGAAAATGAAATTTCGGATTGTGGTGATTTTGAAAGAACAACTTAGTGATAATCCATAACCAGAAACCAACCAACCCAACAACGAACGAACCAACGAACGTACAACGAACATAAAACAAAAGCCGAATCACATAAGGCACGAATCACAAGACCATCGGGATTTCTGGGTGGATCTGGTAAGGTTGGGATATAGCAATCATAAGATCGGGATTGGGCATACTCTATTAAAACAAATGCCAAATGAAACGAAACTCCAACCAAGGCAAATCATTCACTAAAAGCGTTTACAATGCGTTTACAATGCAGGCTACAATCTGAACTGTTACTCAATATGCACTATGACTGAAGGACTGATGTTTTGGAAAACTTGTATTTATATACTATATTTTTTAAGGCTGAATACCTTTACCACGCACCTATGTCAAATTTTTTGAAAGTAAGACTCAGCTGCAAGAAGCTGCATTGATTTTACAAATATTAATTTCTATAAGCATAATTATAAACATTAATATGGAAAATAATTTGACTTGCTTTCGTTTTCATTAAAGATATATTACTTCTTTAAGTTTTTGAAACGCTAACATCTAAACAAAGAAGCTCAGTCACTTCAGTGCGGATCTAAAATGTGAATGCAATGTACGATATTTCAATTACGAATTATAGCATTTACATAACATAACACAAACCAACTAAGAAAGGTTAAGTAAATAGATATAAACCAATTTAGCGGATGTACAACTAAAAAGTTAGGCAACAAAAGAGATGAGCGATCGCAGATGCTTTTGGTGTTACATATATCGCGGTTTTGCTGTGGTGGTGACTTTGAGGTGTTGTATCTGTGTTAGTACAGCTAGTTTTACAGCTAAGCGACTTTATACGATATTAGTTCATTTGACATTATGGTGTAGTTCTATAGTTTCTGTGTGTGTGTTCATATGAGCAATTCAAGATCACGGTTACCACTTCAAATTCATATAAATATCTATTAAAAATCAATCAAATTCTAAGCACCATATTATAAAACGACTTAAAATAACAAAAATAAATAAAAAAGGATTATTTAGGGTTAACTTTAGAATTATTTTATTACTACATTTCAAAACAAAATAAATGGTGCTTCAAAAATTATCTGCTTAAGGAAAGAGAACTCACAATCTGCATGCTTAATCTTAACTTTTTATAGTTATACGATAGTTTATACGGACAAACGGGCGGACGGACACGGCCAGATCGACGTGGCTTGGGATCCTGATCAAGAATAAATATACATAATTATGGGTCGGAAACGCTTTCCTCTACCGTTTACGTACTGCTCAACAAAATGCAAACAAAATGTAAAATCATTGACTATTTTGTGGAAACTGTGAACTCGATTCGCTGTTGTTGGTACAATCAAATACAAGTAGGTTGATTTATGCAAAAGCAGTTGGACGTCATTCGCCGATATACATACAACATACGATATTTATGCTATATGTGCTATACAATCGATACGATACTATATGCTATATGCTATATACTAAACACTATACACGAGCTTACGACATACGATATGGCAGTCAGTTGGCCTACGATGCGGCTACGTTATATTGGGTTACGTTACATTACGCATACGCAATGGTGTACGATCACAGTTACGGTCTAGTTATTTTGGATCCTGCGAGCGTTCCGCTGCCAACTTACCGCTGTGCATGCGCTTAATGTGCGCCTTCAGTTTCTGCGGCTGGCAGAACTTGCGACCGCAAAAATCGCACACTGGTCGCGATCGGTTCGGATTCGAGGCGCATCCGTAGGTGCGATGCATCTCCAGGTAGTTGAGCCGCAGGAAGAACTTGCTGCAGAATTGGCACTGGTACGCCCCCTTGCCGTCGTGCTTTTCCGCCGCGTGCTTCATGATGTTGTCCTTGCCCAGCACCGGTTCGCCGCACACCTTGCAATGGTACTTGCGGATGGTCAGGCTCATCGAGGGATCGTGGAAGACGGAACAGTGGGTGCGGTAGTACAGGGGGTGCTCGAACTTCAGATTGCAGCCGCCGCAATCTGTGTGGATGGGAGCAAAATGTGAGATCTTAGAGATGGGGAAACCTATTCGCAAGAATGGGTAGCACGTAAAAATAAAAAAACGCGAATTCTTTAGGAATGGCCAAAGGAATATACGAATTGAACTGATTGATTTCTTCGTCTACGTACTCGTCTTTTCGGTGTGCTTCTTGCGCCACATGGTGTTGCAGTCGTCGCTCCAGTAGAGCAGCTCCATACCATTCCGCAGATCGCGGCAGCTGACGAAGTACGCCTGCCGGTCGATGGAAACCAGGTTGACGTTGCGCTCCTCGTAGCTGGGAGCCGGCCGCACGAAACGCAGCCAATTGGAGGCGTTCGGATTGTCGCAGCACAGCAGATACGACTTGTCCGCCCCGGCCTCGCACATCTCGAAGATCCACTTCATGTCGCTGCCCTCGCGCACCTCGCCGGTCTGCACCGGCTGTCCGATCAGCGGACCCAGCTTGGTGAATGCCCTCACCTCGGTGCGCGCAAAAACGCCGGTCACATTGGGCTCCACGTTGTGGAGCTCGAATTCCGCCGGAACGGAGGCCTCGGCGAAGGTGATCAGCGGCTTGGTCTCCAGCTCCGAGAGCTGCGACGACTCGTCCATGTCCATGTCCATGTCCTCCATGTCCTCCATGTCGTCGTCCTCGTGCCGCTGTCGCCCGCTGGCCCGCTTCGCCTGCCGCTGCGCATCGGCCTTCAGTTTGGCCAGCGCCTCCAGGTTCCGGCGCTCTATCCACTCGCCCAGATCCACGGCGTCGGTCACGTTCCCGCAGGCATTACGCAGCGGGCACAGCTTGTGATCGTGGGCAATGGAGCACTCGCGGCAGGATTGCTGCGACCGGAAGGCAATGTCGTGCTCGTCCTCCTCCTCGACGAAATTCTGCTCCATTTTCATTTCGCGGGCCAGCGCCTCCTCGTCCAGCTCCTCGTCATCCTCGTCGTCCTCGTCGTTTCCGCCCAATCCGGCACCCGTCTCGTCGTCGTGCTCGTCGTAGGAGTTGGGTGGCATCATGGCCGCCGCCGCCGCCTTGGCCGCCTGAGATTTCTTCGAGCCGTGCGACTTGGAGCGCACATGGAAGTTGCCCGCCTGCCCATTGCTGGCGGTGATGCCATCCACGGCATCGGCGGGCGGCAGGACTGGCAGTAGGTGGGGGTGCGGCGGCTGGTCCTCGTCCTCGTCCTCCTCCTCGCTGCCATTGGCCGCTGCAGCTGCTGCTGCTGCTGCTGCCGCTGCAGCTGCTGCCGCCGCCGCAGCGGCTGCTTTTTTGAGGCACAGGGCATTCGGCAGGGACTCCTTGCTGTTCGCCTCCAGTTCGCTCTTGATCTTCTCGGCGATGCGGCAGTCCAGGACCTCGGGCAGGGCGGAGGAGGCGGCTGCCGCCGCTGCCGCTGCGGCGCTGGCCTTCAGTGCCGCCGTCGCCGCCTTGGCCTCCTGCTTCTTGGACTTGGCGTAGCTGAATCCGGCTCCCGCTCCGCCGCTTCCCGATCCCTTGGACTTGCCGGCAAATCCATTCAGCGCCTCCGAGGTGAATTGCACCCGCTTCTTGTAGCGCTTGCGTTGTGGCGGGGTGGGCGTGGCCATGGGCATGGAGGCCGCCGAGGCGGAGTCACCGTTTCCGTTTCCGCTCGTGTTCCCATTTCCGCTGCCGCTGCCATTGATCGATGACTCCGCTGGGGCGGCAAAGTCCTTGGCGCTGAGATTCGGCTCCAGCTTGAAGTTGCCGTCGAAGCCTTTTGTGGGCGTGTTCGCGGGGGAGGGCGGCGGCAGGCTGAAATTGAAAGGGACGGAAAGCAGGAATATAAGTGAGTTGTCTCTGTACAAATGGCACACTGTAAAGAAATACGCCTAAATGTATGAGTTCTGGTGCCTAAGCTGTTCGAAAAACATAAGCTGCAACTCAAATGCCAATATGGTTTCACATCATATGCTATCCGAAAGAGAACTCCGTAAAGTGGATTAGTTTGGAAAAGCGTGTGGTGGAAGGATTAACGGTTTGGCTCGGTAGTTGGCGGGGTCTCCGAAAGTGGGTCGTTGGAACTTGTTTGGTCTGGTTACTCCCTCTGTCAGGAGCAGAACTTTTCCTCCTCCTCTGCACTTCCTTGGCCATCTTTCGCCTTTCTCCGCTTCACACTGTCCTTCCACGTTGTTGTCGCCTTTGCGTTTAATTAATTTCGCCCACGCTTTGCTGGCTGTTTCGCGCACCCCCCCCCGCGGGGGGTGAAGAGTTGGGCGGAAGGGGGCAACGCTGGAATCGCCATAAGGAAAGTCTGGACCACTGACAGTACTAAAATATATGGTGGTGGGAGCCAGACAGCCCAGGAATGTCATTATAATTGTGACTTAGTTGTGCAAATTAATGGTGCAGTAGTTCTCTAACAGTTTGTGCCGCCTTATATAGGCAGACGCGATCTACATCCATAACAAACATATACAGATACATAGATGCAGATACTGAGACTGCATATTAGTTATTTTTCAGCAACTAGTAGTTGGCGCTGGGTAATTTCAAAGGACACAGAAATCTTTGCCATTCTGCTCACCTGCAATGCAATTACATAGACGATAGCCAGCCAACCAGATGTGGAGGGCATTCATCAGCGGTCGCATTGAACTGTAGTTGATGCTGCACATGCCACACGCTTTCCTTAGCATACGATTTCAGACACCCTGCTCCGCCCCGCACGCCTCTCCGCTTCCCTCTGCCGTTCCACGTCCCTGTGTTATCGTTCATTAAATCCTCCACCTTAGAACCATAACAACAATATCGAAAACAGCGGCAACAGCAAACGATACCATTCTATCCAGCCATCCCTGCCACCGGAGCCTTCCCCTCGGCATCCACTTACCCTGCTCCACTTTGTCCCCACCCTCCATGGCCACCCAGCCACCCAGCCACCCAGCCACCCCCATCGCGCTTCTTTGACCGCAGAGAGCGAGCACACTCCTGGCTCCAGTTCCATCCACTGGCGATGGGGGTTCGGCACTTGGATCCCTGGGCGGGGGTTCCTATTCTGGTGAATGCGAGTGTCTCTACCATTAATGTGCTGCTCGGAGGCCCAGCGGGGGGGTGATTCGTTGGGTGGCGGGTGGTGCTGTGTGTGTGTGGGGGGGTTTGGCTCAATGGGGTTTTGGGGAGTTTTGGGATTCTGTTTCGTGTGCGGTGCTCGTTGGCGCATTAAGTACACAGTCAGCGACACAAACGAGACCCACACAGATACACACACACACACACAAACACACACTCGCATACACACACTCGCGCAGCCTTACAAAGACAATCGCACAACAATTTTGTGCTTTTTGGCGAAAATTCGCAGAAATTGGCGACATGGCGCACACGAAATGCGAATTGGCAAAAGGCAGCGAAGGAAATGGCGGTGCGATGGGGTGGGCGAATCCTTGGGGGTGGTGGTGGGCACAAGGTTGATGGGTGGGCTGTTATCTACTGTGCATCTGTATGTGTGTGCTCTGGGAAATCGCACTCGCACAAGCGCCTGCTGATTAGTGGGCAAACGTCTATGCGTGTGTGGATGCCACTGGAAGAAGGAGATTCGCGCCGAACATTCGAACATTCCACACATTCCCTGGCCATGAGTGGCAAAATGATCTGTAACGCTCTCCATTCCACAGCAAAGATGGTAAATGGTGGCAAAAGTCATTTGAAAGCAAGCTTCATGTTTATTATTTCTTGACTCTTTTCAGTTTTAGGAAATTCTAAGAGATCTACATTTTCAAATGATAGGTTAACAAGTTTAAGTTTCTGTTTGCAAAGTATGGCCCATTACAAACTCAATGATTGTAGATACTTTATCTTCTAGGTCTTTCTCTGTTCGATTTGGGAGATACGTGGACACCTCGTGTTGCCGCCTGTGCAACGTGTGGTGCAACGTGTTCCGCAGTGATGATCGAATCGAGAGAGGCTCCATTGTGCCCACAAGGACTCGCTTGTGTATGTAATCCTGCCAACGGCATCCTTCGTGTGCCACTCGCTTCGCATGCCAGCCAATGCCAAAGGAAGAGGCCGATAAAGTGGCGGAGAAGCAGAAGGAGGAGCAGGAGGCGAACTCGAGGTGGGGGGAGAACAACTGAGATTCAGACATTTCTGCATTGGCATTTTGCATTCGGTTGAGGAGGCCGATGGGCAGGGAAAAGCAGCGAGAGGCGGGGAAGAGCGGTGCCCATATTCAAAGCGCCAAATGGCGCGCTCGACTGCAATGCAACAGCAGCAACAAAAAGTGTGTGGCGTGGCAGGCGGGTGGAGAGGTGGGCGGCATTGTGGGGCAGGGGAGGAAAATTCGCGACGCATTCACGTTGCAAGGATACGAAGGAACCTGCCAAGCACTTGTGTGTGCGTGCAACGCGCTCGCTGCCTGCTCCATACACTGATCGAAATGGGATTACAGATTGTTTGTTCCCCAAGCAGAAATTTAACAGACGTTCTACTATTCCGGGTGAAACAATATTTGTAGCATATTTTAGAAAAGTATCATAGCTTCAATAAGTCCAAGTTCAAGGATTATTGAAGGCATCCATAAAAATGCAATAAAAACTATTCTTCGATTTCAATGGCTAACATTGTTTATTGTTTGCGAAGGATTTCATTTTGCTCCTCCAATATGCAAGCCAGAAAGGCGATTTGTTTACCCAAACAATGCAGCATTGTTCTGAAATTCCCTCCATTGTTTAAGTTCAATATTTTTTAGCCGTGTAGGTGCACGCGTGTGTGTGTGTGTGTGTGTTTGTGTAACTGGGCGATTGGCAACATGGCATGCAAATGCTGGCAGCAACAAAAGCAACACTGCCGACCATGTTGCTTGAGTTTGCGCCTGTGTGCGCCAGTGAGTGTGTTGCTTTTTCCGCTTCCGCTGACATGGCGGCAGCGGCAGCGACTGCGACTGCGAGGCGAGCACAGCGTGCTACGGTTCCAACAACGCACGGATAGTACGGAATACGGAAAATACGGTATATGAGGAATATGAGGAATATGGTCGGAATATGTACGGAATACGGCAGAGGCGCCCACAGAGGCGGCAGCAACATGAAAGCTCCGTTGCATGCAACCGCATGAGTACCGCATTTGTGCCTTTGTATCACGCGGCCAGAAGGGGTTGCTGATGGGTGGTGGGCGGTGGGCGGTGGGCGGTGATGATGGTGCTAGGATGCATTCGGGCATGAATCGCTTTTACATGGATCGCTTTTGTACCGCTCCCCACCGAGCTGCATCTTCGTCTTCGCCACCGCCACCGCCACCGCCGCCTTCCGTGCCACTTGAGCCACCTCCCCCCAAAAGGGTGGTTTTCCCGCCCCCCCCCACTGAGTGCGCTTGTGTGTGTGTGAGGTGCCCAAAAAGCTCTCCCACTACATGTGTGCGTGTGTGTGTGTGTGGGCGCCCACATCTGCGAACAACTATCAACAATGATGGCCAGCGAAGCGTTGCCATATCTCTCACTTCCAGCCGATTCCACACTTTGTCTCCTCCTTTCGAGGGGTTAATTAACAGAACAAGATGGAAACACGAAAAAAGTCTAGATGCATCCTCGACTCCCATCACGAATTCTATCTTTTTGAAGTTTTGATACCATAGTACTACACTCCCACTTGAGCTCTTTTAACTCCTGAACTGAACGGCATTATTGTGATGGAATCCTAAAGTGAATATGATCTCGAAATTGTATCTATTATATTTTAAAGTTATTATCCACCGAAACGGATATCACATCCATATCTTTATGAATGTAAGCTAGCATTTTCAATTGAGAAATTTCTAGTGAGAGAAAAGGTTTAACATTGATTGCTAGTTTCTGTTTTCTCACGAATTATGAACATGATCATAATAATATGTTTACTCTGAGTGAACTTTACAACACTTTACAGCTTTTCAATGTGGGTTTGTTGTTTGCCAAACAAGCCTCTAAATACCTGTTGCACATGCAAGGCATTATTTACCCACTAATTTCCGGAAATTTATTCAAAATCGCAAACCCAGTTCATCGGGTGAATAGCATTAAAGGAAAGCAATACTCACTTGTTCAGGCGATCCGTGTCGTTATCCGCCAGATTCAGAAGGTAGGCAACGAACTCCACATCGTTCTTGAACTGCAGCCGGGTGCGCATGTGCTCCCACTTCTCGGCGTTCTTGGTGCCTATGTAGATGTTTTTACTGTAGTTCTGGTGGCGGTACTTTCTCCGCTCGCTGGCCGCACTGCTGCCCCCGCTGCCGCCGCTGCCGCCGCCATGCTGCTGCTGTTGCTGCTGCTGCTGCTGATGCTGCTGATGCTGGTGCTGCAGTGCCGCCGCACTGGACGAGTTGATGCCCAGGCTGAGGGAGGAGCCTCCGCGGGAGTTGCCGCCACCGGTGGCCATCAGGTCGTTGCTGCAATTGGTGCCCTGACCGCCCGGGCCCAAGCTGCCGTGCGTCGAGCTGAGCGCATGGTTGCTGTTGTTGTTCGTGGAGAAGCTCGTGTTGCTGTTGCCGCCCAGCAAACTACTGGGCGGTGGCGGCGCAATGGGCGTGGCACTGCTCCCGCTTGCCATGTCCAGGGCATTGGCGCTCTGCTGCTCCAGCTGGGCGTTCAGCTTGGCTGCGGAGGCGGCTGCTGCGGCTGCTGCTGCTGCGGCTGCCGCTGCTGCAACGCTCATGTGCAGGCCGCTGCTCTCGGCGGCGGCCGCACTGCTCAGATGGGCGGAGGAGAGGGTGGCGCGGCTGTCCAGATGACTGCTGGCCACCTCGTCCTCGTCGTCGTCATCCTCATCCTCCTCCTCACCCTCATCGTCGTAGACTGGCGGCTCCGGCTGCTGCTGCGGATGCTGTTGCTGCATGTTGTTGCTGCTCGCCGGCATCACATGTCGGAGGTCCGTGGGCGTGAGATCATGCCCATTGCCCTGCTGCTGGTGGTGCTGCTCCTCGTCGTCCTCCTCGTCGTCCTCCTCGCCATCCTCCTCGTCGTCCTCGTCGTCATCGTCCTGCGCCTGCTGCGCTTGCTGCGATTGCTGCTGCTGCGACTGCAGATGATGATCGCCGCGATCCCGCGACTTGGTGTTGCCGTTATTGTTGTTGTTGTTATTGTTGTTGTAGTGCTGCTGCTTGTTGCCGTTGTGCAGCGCACTAACTGCGGCTGCAACTACAGCTGCCGCTGCTGCAGCCCGCTGCTGCTGTTCCGCCGCCAGTTGCTGCTGCTGTTGCTGCTGCTGTTGCTGCGACACATCCTGCTCCTCCTCCTCCTCTTCGTCCTCCTCCTCGTCGTCCTCCTCTTCGTCCATGCTGCTCTGCGAGCTGCTGCTGCTGTGGCCATAGTTGTTGCTATTGTTGTTGCTGTTGTTGTTGTTGGCGTTGCTGTTAACGGAGTTAGACCCATTGTTGTTGTTGTTGTTGTTGTTGCTGCTGCTGCTCGTGCTGTGCGGCAGCTGGCCCGCTGATCCCGCCGAATTGTTGCTGTTGTTGCTGATGCTGAGCGCCGCTGCCGCCGCTGCTGCTGCTGCTGCGGCGGCGGCCGTTGCAGCGGCGCGACTCAGGAACGGTGGGCGTGGCACGAGGGGCGTGTCGGAGTTATCGGAACTATCGTTAAAATCGAAAGCACTGAAATCAGCGGCATTCGCGGCATTTGTTGCACCTGCTGCTGCTGCTGGATTACCGCTGCTTGTTTTGGACATGCTGCTGCCGACGCTAGCGTTGCTGCTGCTGCTGCTGCTGCTGCTGCTACTGCAGCTGCTGCTGCTGCTGCTGCTGCGACTGCGACTGCGACTGCAGCGCTTGCTTTTGTTCTTGTGGCTGCTGCTGCTGCTGTTGTTGTTGCTGCTGCTGACTGGCCGCCGCTTGGTTGTTGCTGCTGCTGCTGCTGGTGTTGCAGTTGCACTTGCTGTTGCTGTTGCTGCTGTTAGTTTTAGTGTTGCCTTTGTTGTTGCTGTTGCTGCGCTTTGCCGAACGCTGCTAAGTTTTTGCTATTTGTTGTTGTTGCTGCCGGCGCTGCTGCGACGCGAATGCTTGTTGTTGTTGGTGCTGCTGCTGTTGCTGCCGGGGCGGTCTGCCTCCGATTCCGCTTCAGATGGCGCCTTGCTCTGCCTCTGCTGCTGCTGCTGCTGCTGCTGTTGTTGTTGCTTCTGCTTTTTCTTCATTATTCACACACACAAGTCGCGCGTGCGACCCACTACACTTGTTGTTGTTGTTGCTGCTGCTGCTGTGCTTGCTGTTGTTGTTTTCGTTGTCGTTGTTGTTGCATTGCTTTTCTACAGCTTTTCGCTTTTTCAGTTGTATGCTGCAGGCTTCTCTATTTTGTTATTTTTCGAGAAATACGAGAAATATAAAGCATACGTTTGGGGCAAAAAGGAAAAACTGAATATCTGCTGACAGAGCTGTCGCTGTCCACGTCGACGCAGACGCCGACTGCGACTGCGACTGCGACAGTGACGTTGGGCAGTAGTAGCAGTAAAAAAAAAAACCGTTCGCCGAAAGCCACTCGCTGAAGCTCCAGTCCTTTCGCCGGGTGGCAACGCTGCCACAGGATTTTTTTTCTTATTTTTAATATTTTTATGTTTTTTTAGTATGCCTCAAGCACTGTCGTATTATATATTCTGCTGGGAATGTTTACTTTTGCGGTTTTTTCTCGCCAGTTGGGTGGAATTTCTTTATTTCCTTATTGAATAGTTAGTAAAACATCGTGGGATCTATCACTCGAACTTGTCGTTTAGAATGTGATTTTTTTTGTGGCATATTCTTGGCTTGCGGTTGGGTTTTCTTGGCCAAGAGAGCTGCTTGTTATGAGGACTAGTGCTCCAAGCTCACACACACAGACACGCACACACAGAACGTAAGTTTGCGAATTTGCGGAAATTCTATTTCACTTGGGGGGAAAAAAAAAAACAAAAACATAATATAATGCGTTGAACAATTTTGCTCCGATTTAGACCAGTGACTTTCAAGCTGATTGGAGACTTTGTTGTTATTGTTGTGTTCGCTGTTTCAATAATTTCGTTACTATTCCTTTTTTTGGAGGACGAGGGTGTGCGTGTAAGTGTGTTGGTGTGACACCCAACGAAAGGACCAAAAAGAGAGGGGGTGGAGAGAGAGCGAAAGAGAGAGAGAGAGCACGCGAGGCGGTGGCGGTTTTCGCCTTGTGCCGATACAGGGCGAGTGGAGAGGTAGAGAGGGGCGGGGCGGGGGGTAGTTTGGTGGGTGGTTTGGGAGGTTGGGGGTCGGCTGTGCTAGACGCCTCGCCTTCTTCTGCTCCTTGAGCCTTCCTGATGGTAGACTTTCTTACACACAGTTTTCCACGGCTTTTCACTCGAAAATAACTTGTCAAAAAAATAAACGTAGCACACTTTTCTGCGATATGGCACTGGTTTAATTATTTAACTGCTGCTGCTATTGGCAATCCTTTTGCATTTTTTGCTTTCTATTTTTCCCTCTGCCTGTTCTTCTTGGGTTTTGTGTCGTCCGCCGTTCGTGATTAGCGATTTCTCTGCGAGCGCTCATATGCCGTTACTCGCTGGTCGCGACGGAATGAAGGACTTTTTATTTATGTGTATGTCCTCGCCGCAGTCGCAACGGATGGCAGCGACGCCGACAGCGACGGCGGCGCCGGCAGCGCCACTTCCTCCTCGGCTCTCAGTTGCGAAAAAGTCCTGCGATGCCGCTAAAGCCCCCCAAACCCCAAAACCCCCACACACACACAAACACACACACAAGCGCCTGGCTTACGGAGAGCCTTTCTCCCTCTTTCTCGTCACGCGCTCTCTCTCCCTCTCTCTCTCGCTCCGTCTCTCTCAGTCGCTCGCTCGCCCTTTCTCTCTCGCGCGCGCAGTGTCGAAAAAGCTCCTCGCTGAAGTCGCGACGTCGACGTCGTGTCCTGTCGCTGTTTTTGATGTCGCGATTCCTTCTCGGTGTGCGTGTATGCGTGTGTGGGGGTGTTCCTGCCAGTCCGCGTTTGCATGTGTGCGTGCACTCGCGAATTGAGATGACGACGACGGCAACAACAACGATAACCAGAGCTCTGCTGGTTGGATACTAGTCGCGATTGCACTGCTAGAAAAGGTTATAGAAAATAATTCGAAAACATATTTAAAAATACTAAATACTATATAATAAAAATGCAATATCATTAGGTTGGGCAATAATATTGAGTTATATTACATATTATATATTTACCATTATTACCTATACAAATTGTTTTTAAGAACCGCATATGCGGCAATGTAAGGTTACATATATTTAGCTAAAAAACAGTCCCATTTTTAATTGCAGTGTGACAGGATTCAAAAGCGAGTGGCAGGAGCAAAGCGAATTGGCGCCACCCCCAAAAATCCATGCGAAGCCAGCCCGTGCGCGCCCGTGCCACTCCCACAGTGGTCATAAATCGAATTTTTGTTTATGTGGTGGTAAGGCTGCTGTGAAGCACTCGTTCGGCCGCCACCCGCCACCCACTCCCCCTGCCCAGCATAGGCCACCCATCCGCCCACAATCACACCCCGCTGAGTCTGCAGCCAACATCCTGTCATTCCAACAGTCGCGAACGCCGACGCAACGTCGCTGCCAGCGCCAATGGTTTACGGTTTGTTGTGTTTCGGTGCCACCAGCAGCAGCAGTAGCAGCAGCACCAACACCAAGGGGGTGGGGGGTGTTGGGTGGTGGGTGGTGGGTGGCGATGGTTGGCAATGGGCGGACGGATGGATGCAGCTCCTTGTTTCCGTGCCCGTGCGGGTGGTGGTGGTTCTGCCGACTGCGACGTCGATGCCTCGGCCGGCGTCGCTGCTTTGGCGGCCAGGCGCCTGCGTCGCTCTCGCAAATCCTTTGAGCGCTCTCTACGGCTCTCTCGAGCTCTCTCCTTGCGCCTGCTCCGCTCTCATCTCGCTGCTCCTCCCCCGTCGCGCCGTCGCTTCACCGCGCTCTTTCATCTCCTCTACTATTCCCCCCGAAAACGGACACGCTCCGCCTGAACGTATGCAGCGATTTTTTCTGTGCTGGGTTGTTGTTATTCTTCTCGCTGAGGGTTGAAATTCCTTGTGTGCCCGTTCTCCTTTGTTGCCGTGGTGTGTGTGCATGTGAGTGTGTGTGTGCCTACGCGTGCGTGTGTGCGAATGGAAAAACAAACTGTGCGACTGTGACGTCACTGAGCAGGGCTGCAGTGCAAAGATAACAGTGCCAGGGCTGCACTTTGGCCAACCTATGAATCGACAATCAACAATCGAATTTTTTTTGCAAAAATTCGTATCTCTTTTTAACAACCTTTTTTATTTTGTGTTTTATTTTATAATAAAATAATCAGTATTTTTTTTATAGCAAAATAAGTAGTTGTCCGAAAATGGAATGGAACACCTCGTTGAATTTGTAACAATACCTTTTGCAACTCCTTTTTTGGCCAAGTTATGGCGAAAACCCAATTTTTGTTAAAATTTATTTTTTTGAAAATCATAAAAGTTGGGATAGGCATAGTTAGCTATGTTTATTAGCAGCACAAAACTGTCTTCATTTTAACTGTGCCTTCTTTTTTGGCTAAGTTATGCCGAAAACCCAGTTTGAAAATATCCGATTTTTGACAACATTTTTTTTTATGATTATTTTTTGATAAAAATAATCAGTTTTTTTGCGATAGCAATAAAAATAGTTGTCCAAACCTAGAATGTCATACCCCGTTGAATTTGTAACAAAATTTCCCATCGACGTGTATTTAAAAAAGTAAATTCTAATTTTTTGCCATTTTTCGCAAATTTTGATGGGGGTACCCCTTATCGAAAATGCAAAATTTTGTTAAAATTTATTTTTTTGAAAATCATAAAAGTTGGGATAGGCATAGTTAGCTATGTTTATTAGCAGCACAAAACTGTCTTCATTTTAACTGTGCCTTCTTTTTTGGCTAAGTTATGGCGAAAACCCAGTTTGAAAATATCCGATTTTTGACAACATTTTTTTTTATGATTATTTTTTGATAAAAATAATCAGTTTTTTTGCGATAGCAATAAAAATAGTTGTCCAAACCTAGAATGTCATACCCCGTTGAATTTGTAACAAAATTTCCCATCGACGTGTATTTAAAAAAGTAAATTCTAATTTTTTGCCATTTTTCGCAAATTTTGATGGGGGTACCCCTTATCGAAAATGCAAAATTTTGTTAAAATTTATTTTTTCGAAAATCATAAAAGTTGGGATAGGCATAGTTAGCTATGTTTATTAGCAGCACAAAACTGTCTTCATTTTAACTGTGCCTTCTTTTTTGGCTAAGGTATGGCGAAAACCCAGTTTGAAAATATCCGATTTTTGACAACATTTTTTTTTATGATTATTTTTTGATAAAAATAATCAGTTTTTTTGCGATAGCAATAAAAATAGTTGTCCAAACCTAGAATGTCATACCCCGTTGAATTTGTAACAAAATTTCCCATCGACGTGTATTTAAAAAAGTAAATTCTAATTTTTTGCCATTTTTCGCAAATTTTGATGGGGGTACCCCTTATCGAAAATGCGAAATTTTGTTAAAATTTATTTTTTCGAAAATCATAAAAGTTGGGATAGGCATAGTTAGCTATGTTTATTAGCAGCACAAAACTGTCTTCATTTTAACTGTGCCTTCTTTTTTGGCTAAGTTATGGCGAAAACCCAGTTTGAAAATATCCGATTTTTGACAACATTTTTTTTTATGATTATTTTTTGATAAAAATAATCAGTTTTTTTGCGATAGCAATAAAAATAGTTGTCCAAACCTAGAATGTCATACCCCGTTGAATTTGTAACAAAATTTCCCATCGACGTGTATTTAAAAAAGTAAATTCTAATTTTTTGCCATTTTTCGCAAATTTTGATGGGGGTACCCCTTATCGAAAATGCGAAATTTTGTTAAAATTTATTTTTTCGAAAATCATAAAAGTTGGGATAGGCATAGTTAGCTATGTTTATTAGCAGCACAAAACTGTCTTCATTTTAACTGTGCCTTCTTTTTTGGCTAAGTTATGGCGAAAACCCAGTTTGAAAATATCCGATTTTTGACAACATTTTTTTTTATGATTATTTTTTGATAAAAATAATCAGTTTTTTTGCGATAGCAATACAAATAGTTGTCCAAACCTAGAATGTCATACCCCGTTGAATTTGTAACAAAATTTCCCATCGACGTGTATTTAAAAAAGTAAATTCTAATTTTTTGCCATTTTTCGCAAATTTTGATGGGGGTACCCCTTATCGAAAATGCGAAATTTTGTTAAAATTTATTTTTTCGAAAATCACAAAAGTTGGGATAGGCATAGTTAGCTATGTTTATTAGCAGCACAAAACTGTCTTCATTTTAACTGTGCCTTCTTTTTTGGCTAAGTTATGGCGAAAACCCAGTTTGAAAATATCCGATTTTTGACAACATTTTTTTTTATGATTATTTTTTGATAAAAATAATCAGTTTTTTTGCGATAGCAATAAAAATAGTTGTCCAAACCTAGAATGTCATACCCCGTTGAATTTGTAACAAAATTTCCCATCGACGTGTATTTAAAAAAGTAAATTCTAATTTTTTGCCATTTTTCGCAAATTTTGATGGGGGTACCCCTTATCGAAAATGCAAAATTTTGTTAAAATTTATTTTTTCGAAAATCATAAAAGTTGGGATAGGCATAGTTAGCTATGTTTATTAGCAGCACAAAACTGTCTTCATTTTAACTGTGCCTTCTTTTTTGGCTAAGTTATGGCGAAAACCCAGTTTGAAAATATCCGATTTTTGACAACATTTTTTTTTATGATTATTTTTTGATAAAAATAATCAGTTTTTTTGCGATAGCAATAAAAATAGTTGTCCAAACCTAGAATGTCATACCCCGTTGAATTTGTAACAAAATTTCCCATCGACGTGTATTTAAAAAAGTAAATTCTAATTTTTTGCCATTTTTCGCAAATTTTGATGGGGGTACCCCTTATCGAAAATGCGAAATTTTGTTAAAATTTATTTTTTCGAAAATCATAAAAGTTGGGATAGGCATAGTTAGCTATGTTTATTAGCAGCACAAAACTGTCTTCATTTTAACTGTGCCTTCTTTTTTGGCTAAGTTATGGCGAAAACCCAGTTTGAAAATATCCGATTTTTGACAACATTTTTTTTTATGATTATTTTTTGATAAAAATAATCAGTTTTTTTGCGATAGCAATAAAAATAGTTGTCCAAACCTAGAATGTCATACCCCGTTGAATTTGTAACAAAATTTCCCATCGACGTGTATTTAAAAAAGTAAATTCTAATTTTTTGCCATTTTTCGCAAATTTTGATGGGGGTACCCCTTATCGAAAATGCGAAATTTTGTTAAAATTTATTTTTTCGAAAATCATAAAAGTTGGGATAGGCATAGTTAGCTATGTTTATTAGCAGCACAAAACTGTCTTCATTTTAACTGTGCCTTCTTTTTTGGCTAAGTTATGGCGAAAACCCAGTTTGAAAATATCCGATTTTTGACAACATTTTTTTTTATGATTATTTTTTGATAAAAATAATCAGTTTTTTTGCGATAGCAATAAAAATAGTTGTCCAAACCTAGAATGTCATACCCCGTTGAATTTGTAACAAAATTTCCCATCGACGTGTATTTAAAAAAGTAAATTCTAATTTTTTGCCATTTTTCGCAAATTTTGATGGGGGTACCCCTTATCGAAAATGCGAAATTTTGTTAAAATTTATTTTTTCGAAAATCATAAAA